TGTGTGTGTGTGTGTGTGTGTGTGTGTGTGTGTGTGTGTGTGTGTGTACACACCCTGGCATGCCTATGGAGGTCAGAGGAAAATGTGTGAGACTCAGTTCTCCTCTCCATCATGTGAGAACTGGGGATTAAACTCCGCTCATCAGGCGTGAGTCATCTCACTGACCTACATTTATTTGTTTGTTTGTGTGAGTTCCTTTCATAAATTCCCACTGCTTATCTGCTGCCTTCTTTTTTCTTTAGCTTTATATTATAGTCCTCCCTCTTTTGCAAAATGTCTATGACTTTTCTTGAGTATTTACTCTGGAGAAATTTGATAATCACTTTTTTAAATTCTTGAATATAAATTCCTTTTGAAAATCTTAATAGAACTGTATTAAATGTATAAACTTACTTGAAAAAGATTAATGTTTTAATAACAATACATTTTTCTTACAGGAAGATTTACTCATTTCGTTGTTGTTCTTTCACAAAATTATATAAGTTTTAATTCCTTTGAGGCAGTGATTCTCAACCTGTGGATTGCAACACCTTCAGGGGTTGAATGACCCTTTCACAAGGTTCACCTAAGACCATAGGAAAACACAGCTATTTATGCTACGATTTATAGTAGCAGCAAAATTGAAGTTATGAAGTAACAATGAAAATAATTTTATGGTTGAGGTCACCACAATATGAGGAACTGTATTATAGGGTTGCAGCAATAGGATAGTTGAGAACCACTACCATAAGGCCTTCTGCATTTCTTGAGCAAAAATGTATTCTTGGAATTTATAGTTCTTATTGCTTCGATGAATGAGGCAGCTTTTCTTCAGCAAGTAATGGCCTATGAGATTGGAAGCTGTTGCTTTAGCTGGTTTGCAGCTTAGTGGTGGAGTACCTGCCTTGCATGTGTAAGGCCAGCTTAAGCCCAGAGCTTCCAGAGGGGGAAATGCATTGATTTTATGTGGTTGGGTAATCAGTTACCAACAATCCTTAAACAAGCCTTAAGAATTTATAAATCATACATGCTAAAGTCTTATAAGCAATGTTACATTATCTGAATTCTTTTCTTAAGATTTATTTATTTATTATGTATACAGTGTTCTGTCTGCCTGCATACCTGCATACCAGAACTCATTATAGATGGCTATGAGCCACATGTGGTCGCTGGGAATTGAACTCAGGACCTCTGGAAAAACAGCCAGTGCTCTTAACCTCTGAGCCATCTCTCCAGCTCTATCTGAATTCTTTATAGAAATCAAACAGTAATGATCTGTCACTATATGATCCAAAATGATCTTAAGAGCCTCCAATAAAAACTTCCCACTTTAACATACCAGTCCCAGGGAAGAGCCCTAACTGTTGTATTTCATTATTCACAGTGTGGTTCGTATTGAACCTAGAGCACGATGCTTGTTAGGCCCAAGCTCCATGAGCTCAGCTGAGGCCCAGATCTTTTCAGTTGTTTTTTTTTTTTTTAATTTTATTTATTCTTTATACATCATTCTGTCTGTGTACCAGATCTCACTATAGATGGTTGTGAGCCACCATGTGGTTGCTGGGAATTGAACTCAAGACCTTTGGAAGAACAGCCAGTATTCTTAACCTCTGAGCCATCTCTCCAGCCCCCATCTTTTCAGTTTTTAACAAGTGTTTTTTCTGCTACCTCATCACAATTCATGTGATATGAGAAAGACAGGGATTTAAGGCAATGAAATTGTATATAATGAAATTTAAATTATCTGAAGACTAATTCTTTTGCTATAAAGTTATATGTGATACTGTAATTAGATCCTTTGGGAGAAGATACCAGGATATTCATTTAGAGAACTTAGTTAAATCACACTTTTTAATATAGGAGTGTCAAGATAGACTATAAAATTTTTTCTTTACTTTCTACTTGGAAAGTTAAAACTAAGAAGAAGTATGGAGTTGAGATGGCAGAATTAACTCAGGCTACCCTGTTTTCAACTTTGCTCTTTTGTTTTACCACTGTGGAAAATGCACTAAGGAGCTTATTCTATCTGCGGACTTTTAGCAGACAATTACCCAGAGTTAGGCCTGAGCCCAGCAGTCATCGCCATGTGGGTGTGTGTAAGTGGTAAGGGTGGGAGAGGCCCAAGTGGAGACAGCGTGCGTCCTGCCCAGTGCTTTGTTTTACAGGAAAAGATCATTGCATTTGTCTAATAGGTACTGAAAATATTTGTGCAGATGGTGATGGTCTAAAATTTAAGAGGCAGTATGATACAGCTTTTATGCTATAATACAAAGTGTTTAAAACTGAATTTTATCTATCAAAATGATGAGGTCTAAAGAGATTGGTAGTGTTTGCTCCACAAGCATAAGGTGGTTGTGTTTGACCCTCAGAACCCACTTAAAAGTATGTGATTGTAATCCCAGAGCTGGGGAAGTAGAAATGGGGCCCCTGAGCCTTGCTGCCCAGCCAAGTTGGTGATCCCCATGCCAGTGAGAGGCCCTGTCTCAAAGAACATGGTGGGCAGCTCCTAAAGAATGAAACACATAACACAGTGATAATGTGGCTTGAGGGACGGGTAGTGAGGCTGATAGATAAGGTAGGATAAATTTAGCAAAGTGGTCACGGCGTCTTCTGGATATATGGGCCCTTAGAGTATAAAATTCTCTCAATGGTTTTTTGTTTGTTTGTTTGTTTTTATGAGGGGTGGGGGTGGTCTTTTTGTTATTTGGTCTTTTTTTTTTTTTTTTTTTTTTTTTTCCCCAGAACTGAGGACCAAACGCAGGGCCTTGCACTTGCTGGGCAAGTGCTCTACCACTGAGCTAAATCCTCAACCCCCCTCTCAATGTTTTAATAATTATTTTTTCTCTAATAAATGTTGGGGAAAACGTGAATATTAGAGCAAGTTCTGGGACTTAACATAAATGAAATCTTAGAGCCCTATACAATATAAATAACTGGTTTATAGAAAATAAAATTGGTTTATCTACTTTTAAGTTTTCTCACAGTCAAATAATATAACCTATTAGAAAGTAATTTTTTAAAATGATGGTGCCATTACTTCTCGTGTGATTTCAGTAGCTATTGCTGAATGTTTGTGAAGTAATTGTAGAACACAGTTGAGACCCACTTAGTGGGGAAGGGAATGTTCTGTGTCTTCATCAGATACGACTTCCACCACGAAGTGTTAGCTCTTCAGCGGGTGGACATGGAAGTCTCAGGTCTCTTTAAAAGGAAGAAGACAGGCACAAAGGGTTAAAAATAAGAGTGTAGATTCCATGCTTTCTTTTCCAGGAAGCAGTAGGAGACACGTTAGAAGAACTGTGGATTTCCTACAATTTTATTGAGAAGTTAAAAGGGATCCACGTGATGAAGAAACTGAAGATTCTCTACATGTCTAATAACCTGGTCAAGGACTGGGGTAAGCCGAGATCACCTCTTGCTAGTTCCCTCCTCCTGTTCATGGAAAACAGCCAACAGGAGCCGGGCATGCAGTGATGCTCACCTGTAATCCCCACATGCAGGCCGAGGCGGGATGGAGTTTGAGGAAGTGAAACCACCTCACAGCACTGATAAAAAGAGAAACCATCCAATCAGGGAAAAGTATACCAAAAATAGGAACCTTTATTTTTAAACACAGAGAAAATGAGCTTCAGGAGTAACTATAGAAATCCCAACATTTCAAGTACAAGAAGTGTATACTTAACTACTTACTTAGGCTTGCCCCATAAACATGGGGATCTGCGTTCAGATGCCCAGGACCCCTACAAAAGCTGGAATAGACAATGGGCATCTGCAATCCAAGTGCTGTGCGGAGGTGGAGACAAGGGTCCGAGGGCTTAATGAACAGCCAGTCAAGCCGAACCAGTGAGCCAGGTCCATGGAGAGGTCCTGTCTCGAAAAGTTAAGTGAAGAAGATTCAAGGAACGCATCTGATGTCACTTCTGGTCTCCACATACAAACACGCACACACACATACATGCACACACTCACATACACATTGACTTATAGCGAGTATGGTTGTGTAGGTCCTGGGCTTGTTGATCATGAAAAAAATGTATCTACTAAAAACTAAAGAAATTCATTTAATGTAATAAACCTGGCATACTGATTTGATGCCTACATTGCATTGCTTCTTTTTTGGTATGTTATCTTTTTCAGCATATTCTAACATCCTGCTGCATACACCATGAACAATGCCGAACATTGTTCCAACACCACATAGTTCACAGCTGAGAGGGCACGTGTTTAGTAAGCCAGTATTTCTAAAACTGTTGTAAGCTCTGTGGTAAGGATTCAAATGAGTCACTGGGAATTCAGAGGTGAGGGGAGGTGCAAAGATAAAGGCGGCTTAGCTTAGCCTGCCCTGGCGCAGCAGCTCAGAGATTGATTTGCTGTTCTCTGCAGCATCAACCCTTCTGTTTATCCCATCATTAGGGCAGCGTTGAAAGTTCAAGAGACAGGTCTCCCCCCATCCCATAATATCCTCAGATAATGGCTTTCTATTGTAAAGTGTCCTTTGATCTTTAAAATCCTGACTACTACCCTGCACAGTCACAAGTAGACCTACTGATTAGATTCTGTGTCCAGAACCATGAGAGGGCAGAAGCTCCGCAGCTTCTGACGTGGAAAGTATTCTCTGTACTGCAGCTGAGTTTGTGAAGCTGGCGGAGCTGCCGTGCCTGGAAGACCTGGTGTTTGTGGGCAATCCCCTGGAGGAGAAGCAAGCTGCCGAGGGCAACTGGATCGAAGAAGCAGCCAAGCGCGTACCCAAACTGAAAAAGCTGGATGGTGAGCGGCCCTGGGACTGGGAAATAGTTTTTGTTTATTAGGTTTTTGTTGTTGTTTGTCTTTTGAGACAGTGTCTTACTATATAGCCCAGGCAGGCCTAGAACCCCCTGTGTAGTCCAGGCTGGCCCTTAACTCACAAGTTCTGGGATTAAATCTACCACACCCAGCCATAGTAAGACACTCTTACTATCTCTCTGGGATGATGCCATCACTATAGAGTAATTTATTAGGAAACCTGTAAAGGCCAGTGATCCCCAGCAAGTGTGACAGATGTATCTGTTGCCTTCATTCCCAAGACCCTGTAGGTCTTTCCACACCGGTGCTGTGGAAATAGGCTTTTTGTTTGTTTGGGTTTTGTTTTTGAATGAGGTCTATGGTGATCATAGAAGTCTCTCTTGAAACAAATCACTGGCATTCCTTTCCTGCCCTGTCCCAGGGCCCCCAGCTCCCTCTCCTGCAGTCCTTGGGAAGGACCGTTCTAGTCTGAGCGGAATCATCACCCCCTTCTTCACATTATTCTCAGTCTAAGTTCTTCAGAGACAGAACCAAGTATGTCTGTGCTCTGCCTTTGCTTTCTGTTTTGTCCCTAAAATAATTATGCGCACAGCCCAAGTCCCTGGACAGAAGAAAGGAAAATGCCCAGCGCTGGTGACCGTGGGGACAGTGACTATCATGCTGTGTAAAGGCATATTTCCCACATTACCTTCATCCCCACACTCAGGCTGAGTCATCCAAAGTAAAGGACCGAGTCACTCTTTCCACAGCACAGGTGTGCAGCATGGCTGTGGCAGGAGCAGTCAGTCCTCAGGAATGGGGACAATACATACATCCGCTGTAGTCGTTGGGGACCACTGACTTTAGTTGCAGCATGTATAATCGTCACCATTGTCAGGAAAATGAACGTGGGCTGGGGTGATGGCTCAGTTGCTCAGACATTTGCTTTATGCCTTATAAGCATAAAGCAAGTACAGTCTTTACATAAGAACTTGAGTTTGACCTCCAAACCCATGTAAAACAACCAGGTGTTGTAGTGCAAGCTTGTGGTCCCAGCCCTGGGGAGGAGAGGACAGCTGGATCCTCGGGCTTGCTGGAAGCACCTATCATAATCAAGGAGCTCCAGGCTAAGCAGGGACTGACTAACCCCCCTCCCCCAACACACATACAAGGTGGAGGTGCTAAAAGAGGTGGCTTGGGAGTTAAGAACACTTGCTGTGTGATCATGAGAGCTGGATTCAGATCCCAGCACCCACGTAACAAGCCAGGCATCCCACAAACACTTGTGACTCTAGCTTGGAGGATCTGATACAGTCTCTGGTCTCCAGGGACATTATCCTCATGTGCGAAATTCCACAGAGTCCACATTAGGGGTTTCTGTTTCACTCTTGTTTGTCGATTGGCTTTTAGATAGGCTCTTGCCATGAAAACAATAAGGCGTGTAAATAAATAAAATCTGTTCCGCACCTGAGGAGCCAAGGCTGAGGTTCTCCAGCATCCACATATAGACACGTGTGTGCCCCTGCACACACACACGAACACACACACACACACACACGAACACACACACATACATACACACACACAAACATCCAAAACGATGATGAACACAGTAAATTAAGTTTTCTTGTACTCTTTACAGCCTCTCATTCCTTCTTTCCACCACCCAGCCTCTCATCTGTCTCTAGATCAGTCTGCTCCAGAGCTCTAAATGAGCCTTGCTAAATATTTCCCTTTAGCTCCATCCCTAGGCCTAAAATGACATGACACAGCAATAGTCATGAGGCAGATAAGTTTCCAAGAGACTAGTAATGTACTGGTTCCCAGGCTATCCAGGAGTGCACAGTTAGTTTTGTGACTCTTTAAGTGGTTTAGACTACATTTGCATAAATGAATATTTAACATTAAAAAAAGAGGACTAAGAGTATAGTTCAGCGGTAGAGTATGTACTTACCATATGTAAGGCCCTGGGCTCAGTCCCCAGCACCAAATAAAGAAGGGGGTGGTGGGTGGATGAAAAGGAAATACAAGGTACATTAGAGTCTTGAATTTCAGCTATTCTATATTCACCTTTGTTTGACCTCTAGAGACTGAGCTTATTTGTTTTCACTTCTTTTAGAGGTGCATAGAGGAAGTGAAATCCTTCCCTTAAGAATGAAACAAGCAGGCCTGGCACAGTGGGGCACCCCTGGAATCCCAGAGATCAGGGAGGCAGAGGTGGGTCTCAGAGTTTGAGGCCAGCCTGGTCTACAGAGCAAGTCCAAGATAGCCAACACTACATAGAGAAACCCTGTCTCAAAAAAACAAACAAAACAAAACAAAAAAACCCCAAAAGAATGAAACAAGCTAGACATGGTGGTGCACACCTTTAATTCCAGCACTCAGGAGGCTAAGGAGGGTGGGTCTCTGGTGTTAGGACCAGCCTGGTCTATATAGAGAGTTCCAGGACAGCCTGGGCTATATAGAGAGACCTTGTTAAAAAAAAAAAAAAAAAAAAAAAAAAAAAAAAAAAAAAAAAAAAAAAAGAGAGCGAGAGAGAGAGAGACCAGAAATAATTTTCTTTTTCATTTTAGGTACTCCAGTAATTAAGCAGGATGAGGAAGATGAAGGCTAAGGCTGTACTTTCCACTTTGTGTTAATTTATTTAATGTTATGAGAACAATAGATAAGTTTTGTATAATTGTCTATTTTAAAGATTTTGTGGGGGCAGAGTTCTTATCATAAAACACATCTCTCACTTCCATCCTTTAAAAAAACCTTTTAGTGTTTCTCCCTCAAACTATTAGCACCAATGTTAGTCCAGTCCCATCTTTGGAAACCACAAATGTCCAGGGTTTGTCCATTTACATATGTCAGCTGTCTCCTAAAATTCATAGACTGGTCATTTGTAAGAGCAAAGGGACCTGTTATCTGTACTGTTGTTTAGTATTTTTTTAGGCCAGGCATTTTAAAGATAGGCTTTCAAATCTGTACGAGGTTCATGTCCTTATAACTCGGAAGCACAAATGCATCACCCCATTGGTTCAGAAGGCAGCATGGTGATGGGAAACCTTCCTATTAGAACACAGCTTACCTGGACCCAAGGGCCCAACACTGGTGAGAAAAGGAAGAATGACTGTCTTGGGGTCTTCTTAGCTCATGTTATATTTACTTCTTTTTCCAAAAACGTCTGCACTGTCAACTGGAATTTGGGACCTAACGGATGGCCACTTAAGTCACCATGCACGACCAGACACCCTGTTGTCCCCATCAATGGCTAATTCAGCTGGCATGGCCAGCTTTATAGTAATGTGATTACATTAACTTTTGTGGACCTTGCGTTATGCAGAGTTTTAAAAATAACTTCTCATATATTTAAAGCGGTAGTCAGTGGTTCTAAGTATCTATCATTTAGCTTGTAAAAACTTTTTTTGAATGATTTAGCCCGCTGCCCTTTGTTTCATGGTTATAAGGGTACAAACTTAAAGACTGAATTTGGTACCTCTAAATAAATGAAACAGTATTTAAAATTATATTTTTGAGACGATCTAAAATAGCTTTTAAAGTGTATCATGTAAGTGGTACGGAGGGAAGAGAGAGATGTTTCGGGATGGATCCTAGGCAAATGGCAGTATATTGCAGAGTGTCTCCCGTGGAACACTGTAGGTGTCTTAAGATCTGCAAAGCAATAGTGTGGAAATTAGAATGTATCATATAAGAAAAATAGAAAATGTAAAAGGTCATCAGTGCCAGATGAAGTCATTGACTGACTGTGGAGAAGTCAGGAACCCCTGCCAAATTGTGCCTAAAGTCTCAGCCAGAGGCTGCGACTCTTGGTTCAGCCCCATGGATTCTACCTGGGAGTAATCGCAGTGAAAGGGGCAGAATCTTTTTTTAAACGATTCCATAAGTAGTCTTGGTATGAAAAACTTACAGCTGTCATGCCACTAAGAATGGCTTGGTTTCTGTAAGAGTCACACTGATCAGAAGGGACAACTGCTTTGACAATCATCTCTAAATCCAAGCAAAAATGCCTAGTCTTGGGCTGGAGAGATGGCTCAGAGGCCTGTGCTTGTTGCTCAGGACCTGAGTTTGCTTCCCAGCACCCACGTGTAGGCTCACAGTCTCCCAGACTTCCAGGGTAGTAACCGATGCCCTTTCTGGTGTCCCTGGACGTTACGCAGATATACATGGAGGCAAAACACCAGACACATAATAAATTTTTAAAAAGAATACCCAGCGTAATACCTTATGAACGCCCTTTTAGCTTTTCTGACAAGAAGACACTTCCCCCTGACTGGCTTAACATTCAGAACCATTGGCATTTCCCCTGTGAGCCGCAGTGGTGGGCCTCATTCTCCTGGGTGGTGCAGAAGGCTGCAAGTGGATGGAACACTGTTGTTCCTTGAGTTTCCAGGAGGCAAGCCCTGTTACTACGTGTGGCTAGACTTCCTGAAAGGTGCCCTGGGAGTGAGGATGGGAAGTGGATGACTTCATACTGCATCTGTGAAATGACTTAGAGTATGTGTTTTTGTTTTTTTCCAAATTCTGTAATTGGAAAATACCCCTCCATCATTTCTTAATGTCTTCTAATCACTGGTGGTTCTCAGAGATATGTACGGTGCTTTTCTGTATCCATTTGACACAAAAACCATTTTCAGCTCCTCTCCACAAATATTGGAATGTCTTTGATGCATCTCTGTTCCTGGAATTAAAGCCAAAATGCATTCAGTTTGAAAGTGGAATGGAAGGCCAGCCTAGTCTATAGAGCAAGTTTCGGAACAGCCAAGGCACAGAGAAACCCTGTCTTGAAAACAAAGAACAAACAGAAAAAAAAAGAAGAAAGAGAAAGAAAGAAAGAAAGAAAGAAAGAAAGAAAGAAAGAAAGAAAGAAAGAAAGAAAGAAAGAAAGAAAGAAAGAAAAAGAAAGAAACAGAAAAGTGGAAGCTGGATATATGAAAGAGTTGAGGATATGAGGCTATCCCCCAGATCATTCTGTAAGTCACCTTTTACTCCTAAACTGTAGTTGAGATGAGATGGGACTTATGCCAATCAGACTGGAGATGGATTGGACCAACTTGTACTAAATGCTGTCTGTGTTCATTTGAACTTCTGCCCTTAGAGATAATGCTAGAGTGCTGGAACAGCCCGGTATTTTATTGTTTTCACCGTCGATATGATGGTATATTAGAATTCCACTTTCTGTGTTTCCTAATTCTTAGCTAATGGCCATATTATCTAGCCAGGCCTTGGAAGGCCTTTCTTCTCCTTTCTTACTGCAACGGAGGTCCTCGGGGTCCACTGTTTACATTCTGGTCTCTGTAACTCACTATGGTGGGGCTGTGCACTGTAGGCTGCTTAGCCGCACCCCTGTCTTTTACTCCCTATATGCCAATAGCTCCTCCTCTCCAGTTTTGGCAACAAAAGATGGCTGCAAACATTGCCCACTGTGCTCCGGAACAAAGGGAGATAGCCAGGTTCTCCCCTAGATAAGAACCAGTGTTTCTTGTTCCAGCATTCCTCTCTAGGCCTCGGTCACTTTTGCTCTGTAGTCAGGTGCTGCTGGAATTACTGTGAGAGAAAGTGACATGTTTATCATCATGGCTGGAGCTGATCAGTAGTGTTGCCCTTTTGCCCAATGCTCGACTTCATGTTTTGCCCTCTTAGAAACTCGGGCCTGGAAGCTGCATCTTCTGTGTGCAGGATCGTAGCTCCAGTTACTCTCCCTGCTCGTCTTAGGACAACGGTTGATCATTTCATCTCTCAGTCATCTAAAACTGTATGATAGATTCTGTTCTGCCTCTAAAGCTTAATATTTGGAATATGCTTGAGAAGATGTGTCATCATGCATAGATTTTTTTTTTTTTTTTTTGCAGATGTTGTCAGTCATTAAGTCTAGGCAGCACTATGCTCAGTTGCTCACGCGTGAACATTAGCTGGTCACACCAGAATCCAGTGTGACTGGGATTCTGTGATTAGAGGGGTGCTATGCCTAACTGGTCAGGAACGTGGGTGCTTCCTGCAGCTGCCCTACAGCTCTGGCTCTGGCATGGAAACTTGTTGTTGAGTAGGTGTTTCTTCAAATGCCTTTGCCAGGCATCTGAACGCAGAGTAAGGAGTAGTGAGAAATTAATCTGTCATTGGCTCAGAGTTGGTGAAATGGAAAATAGAGCTGGGCTCAGTGGCACACGCCTGTGATCCCAACATTCAGGGAGGCAAAGGCAGAGGCAGATGGATCTCTGTGAGTTCAAGGCCAGCCTGGTCTACACAAAGAAACCCTGTCTCAGAAAACAAACAACAGGCCAGCCCAGAGAGTTTGGATTTAATCATTTACTTTGGAAACTGGGTGGGGGAAGAGAGGGAAGTGAGGAGTTACTGTCTGACTGAGGTAGTAGCCTACAGTTCACAGAGACTGTGAACACTCAAGCCTGGGTAAAGGAACACTCAAGCCTGGGTAAAGGGAGAAAGCAAACTGCAAGCTGTCCTTTGCCACAGTCAGCCTTAGACACGCATGTGGGCTGGTAATTCGTCCACAAGCAATGAAGCCAGACTCAGTGCAGCAGAGCGTTGGAGCTGGTTCTCACAGCTGACTGACCGTGTTCCTGGATCTTAACCTAGTGTGGCATCCCCGCTCCATACAAGTGTAGGCTAAGTGAAATTTAAAACTCAGAGAGCTACATTAAGAATCACTTTTAGAATTCCATGTTTGTGTATCTGCCCCTGCCTTTTATTCATCGTTAACTGCATGAAAGGAAACAGAAAAGCAGAACTAGACTTCTAGCCTGATAGAAAGTGGTTCAGTTAACACGTGGAGAAAGTATAATCAGAGTCTCAATAATTTCCCATATTGGGCAGATTAGAGAGGACCCAGACAACCAAATTATGAGCTAACAAATTTAACAAGAAGGTGGAGAGAGTAAACTATTTTTTTTAGAAGATTTGCACTTTAAAATTATGAGTGTGGTGGTAGAAAATACTTCCAAAGGGGAGGTGGGGAGCTATGGAGCCTGCACACAGGTGTCCCAGACTCAGGCTTCAACACTTGCTCACTCTAGCCACAGTTGCTCTCTTCATGGTCAGTTAGGATTTCCTGCCTTTCTTTCCTATTTGGGTAGTTATATTCAAGTTCATCCTATTCGGAATAGAAACTTTGGGTATTTTCTTTCCTCTATCTAGACTGTCTTTCTTTCCTTATTTTTTTCAATGTTTATTTTTTGGTTTTTCACGGCAGAGTTTCCCAGGCTGTCCTGGAACTCACTCTGTAGACCAGGCTGGCCTTGAATTCAGAGATCCACCCTCCTCTGCCTCCTGAGTGCTGGAGTTAAAGGCCTGTGCCGCCACCACCTGGCCCATATCTAGATTTTAAAAATTCAATTTAGTGTTGGCTGCATAACAGGGGGAGAGGGGATCTGGGCATCTCCGTCCCTGGGAGTCCCTGCCTGTGACGCTGTTGCACTCCTGACACAGCCGATGAAGAGCAGAAGTCCACACACAGTCCAGCGGCTTCTCCCAGCTTGTCCTTCGTGGCCAGGAGCGTCATTCTCAGAGCGTTGGCTTCTAGAACCATGTTCATTCTGAAGAACATTTTAACATCTGTTAATGCTTTGGTAATAATCTTTTATACACAGGACTTTTGTAGCATGACTTTATGACTAAACTTATTGTTCGTTAAATTATTTAGTAATATTGACTTCCTGAATGTTATTTTGTGGAACTTGTTTTAAAATAGTAATAAATCATGTTATTTTATAGAAAAAAAAAGTCCATTGGTTATTGTGTTTTAGTTAATAGAGTAGCTCCCATGATATTTTTTTTTTTTTTTTTGAAGCAATTCAGCTTTCAGTCCTTGCATGTGGTGACAGGGCCAGGGAGGAAAGACACATAGAAATGCTGGGGAAGAAAGAGACAGACAGACAGAGCACACAATGGGTTTGAGGAGACACTTTCCTTCTTTCTCTTTCTTCCTTTCTTTAGTTGAGACAAGGTCTCAGCCCTGGTTGTCCTAGGGCTCATTTTGTAGAGCAGGTTGGCATCACCCTCAGAGATCTGCCCGCCGCCTGAGTGCCAGGGTTAAAGGCACGTGCCACAACACCTGGCTGTACCTCGCCCACCATTGCGTGTCCACTGGAAAGAGTGTTTCCGTGGTCGGCAAGCTGCTCCTGCACCGGATTACCCCAGTAAGCCTAGCCAAAAGACGCCTGAGAAGCAGGCTAACCCAGAGGGTCGGGAGCACCAGACCCTTTGCCAGCGTTGTCTGTACTGTCAGCCAAAACAATTTTGTTACAGAATAGAACTGCTGTGCCCTTTCTACTCTCCCACAGTTCTGTGAATATGCCTTTCTAAAAACACAGTATCTTAAGATTCCTGAGCTCACAGCGAGAAAACCTCAAATCAAATCATAGTTACTTTTAATTTACTGGATGTGTGTCTGTCAGCATCCCGGCAGACTGAGGCAGGAGGCTAGGCAACTGTAAGGATAGATAGCCTCCGCTACAGAGGAAACTCGGCTCAAGAAGACTGGGAAAGGGGAGTGAGCACTGAGGATCCTGATAAAGCTTTATGCACCACGTTGCAGATGGACGTCTGTGCATGCCGGCGTGCGCCGCTGTTACATCCGAATAGTAGAAGTACCTTCCCTCCTAGGATGCATCCATTCTTCAGCTTTCTATAAGCTAAGCATGTTGGCACACGCCTATAGTACACCAGCACCAAGTAGGACGAGGCAGGAGGTTGTAAGTTCAGAGCTAGCCTCCCATCCGTAGCTCCCTCTGTGCAATGTGAGGCTTTTAAAACACAAACAAAATCGGTCGACGGGCCTATGGCACGACGGCAGAGTGCCTGACCAGCAAGCACGTGATCTTCGATTCTCTCCTTGCTACTGAAGAAAGCAGCCTAGCAAGCACTGAGGTGAGGTTGTGTTGGCAGGACAATGCAGGCAGCTGAGACGACACAGCAGGTAAAAAGGCATTTACCATCAAGGCTGCCAGCCTGAGCGTGGTCCCCAAACCTGCCTGGTGAAAAGAGAGAGCTGACGCCTACAAGTTGTCCTGTCCTCATGTACTTGCCCACACTCAAAAAAATAGTACTATGTTCCTATATGAAGCCAAGGCTACCGACAGCAGGAAACATGCCGAATCATGCTTGTTTTTTAGAACGAACATCTGGGTGTATGAGTTGGGAGCGTGATTGTTTGGCACGTGGTAGTGAAGTGTGTGCATGTATAAAAGTGTAAGAAATAGAATCTTACACTGAGGGACCCACGAGGTAGGAGGAGAAAGTGGATCCCTGCGAGCTGTCCTCTGATCTCCACATGCATTCCATGACATGCACACCGACATTTTAAAGAGAAGTCTGGAAAAACACATACCAGTGTTGACATTCACAAGTTAATAGTCACAATTAAACAGCTCCCGATCCCGTCACCCCAGTCTCTGCCCCTGAGCTGTTGGTCCACTGGTGCCTCCACAGAGCAGAAGCTGGGGGATCGACAGGCATGTGGCTTACATTACAGCAGCTCTGATCACACCCCTAAGAACACTGCATGGCCCTTCCACATTTACCCGGAAACTCAGAGAAGGCATCTGCAGCCACAGAATCTCTAGGGCCATCTTGGTGTAAAATGGCCGCTGGGAAACAAACACCTTGCACACATGTGACCTGACCACTGTTTCGCCACTGAAACAAGGTGTTAGTCACACAGTGACTTTAAAAGAAAACGGTTGCCAGATAGCCTAAGCCGCATCTCAAATTTCTGTCAAATGTCACAGAAACACACATCAACTATTGTCACTTGCCTCGAAGAAGCCATGTGAAAACCGAACCCGCTAAGAGGTATTGTGAAAGCCGGATGTGGCAGCACCCTGGAGAAAGAGGTGGAAGATCACAAGTTCAAGACTAGCCTGTGCTCTCTAGGGAGCCTGTACCTAAAAGAAATAGCTGGGGGTCGTGGCTCATACCTGTAACCCTGCTCTGTAGAGGCTGGGGGCAGGAGGATTGCTACAAGTTTGAGGCCAGCCTGAGCTACAGAGTGAATTTCAGGCCAGCCTCTCAGAGTGGGACTGTGACAAAGAAACAAAATCACCAAGGAACGCGCCCAACAAGATGTGTATGTAGGCGATATTGGGATTTAAGCTCATAGCAAGGAGGTTAAAAACTTTTTTTTTTTTTGGACATGAGCAAAAATCCTTGTAAGAGAAAAATACACAGAGCTGAATTACACTGAAATTTTTTATACATCTCAGAAAAAAACAAAAAGGCTTTTCAAATTTTTATTTGTATACATCTACTTGGTAACTTCAAATTTAGAACACGTAGCATCAACATGACCAATAATTATATGACAAATATTTGAAGAGAGAGAAGTGCAGCTTGTTCATGGCAACTTCCCCGGTGATTTATATCTGTATCTTATGCCATGAAGAATCGATTGTACAGCCCTATAAAAGCACTTTTTTTTTTTTTTTCTAACAAGTCACTCTTAGTCCCAGGATACTTTTCAGGTAAACAGATTCCAGTGTCAGCCATGAGAAACTAGAACTCTGCATTTTCAAGATAAGCAATATCACCTAATAGAACCACGTTCTTTCCACTGATATAAATTAGGAACAATTTACCGTGAAACTATCCACAAAGTTAGGAACAAACACAAGGGTTGGTGCCGCGGGCCAGGCCTGCGCTTAGCATCTGAACTCACAGCCTCACGGTCATCTTGATAGGAAGTGTCACGACTTCACGGTTCTCACAGCTGTCAAAATGCCACCAGGACGGCTGCCCTCGGGCATTCATTTTCGGCAGAATGACCCACCTCTACTGTTGCAGCTCGTGCCAATCACACAGTTCCGTGGATGCTGCGGGAATATGCAGGCCTGACCCCTGTATCCCATCCGTCAGAACACAAAACCAAACCAAAGCAAACCAGGAGGCTCGGTGTTTACTGAGCCAGGCAGGCTCGCAAAGCTGCACAGGGCTAACAGAAGCAGCCCGGCCTCTGCAGGGACTCAGAAGTGGCCCTCCAGGCCTAGCTGCAAGAGGGCAGCCTCGGCTTCCTCCTCCTCCTCTTTGGCTTCCTCTTCTCGAATCTGCACCAGCAACTGGAAGAGGTTGGGTGCAGGTCTTTCGGCAGCCCCGGTCAGCCACAACTGCCTCCGGATGGCCCCGCTGTGGTTGGCCCCGGCGATGACCTGCTCCAGGCGAGCCTGGTTCACGTTATCTTTATCAATGGCCCCCTTCTCCACTACCTTCTGCAGCAGGGGCTCCAGGCGAATGACGTAAGAAGATAACTTTTCTCCAGGGTTCTGGTAAGTGTTCAGAAATCTGACCTGGGCGGCTCGAGAGCTCTCCACGCTCCCAAACACCTGCTCCAGAGCCTTCAGGCATTCTGCGGTGGTTATGGCTGGGTTGCTGGTCTTGAGGATGCGCACGACGTCAGCCGCGGGGCCCCTCAGACTCTCCATCAACCGCCGTCTCTTCTCTGTGTCAGCCACCTGCCATTCCTCTATGATCTCATTCGAGTGCTCCAGCCAGGAATCAAAGGTCTCCTCGCCGGGCCCGGGAATGTCCCTCCCAGAGAACAGCGTCAGCTTCTTATACCATATGGACTCGACCAGAGGCTGAATAACGTTATCCAAAATACACTTGAGTATCTCTGCCGGCATCTCCGGGCCTGGAGCTGGAGCAGGGTTCTGAAACCCAAGCACGCGACCAACATCTTGCACGCTCCACCCTTCCCTAGCTAGAAAGAGGTTCAGCCTTTCCAAAAACTCCGCGTCGGAAGTGGGGGGTTTGAACACCACTTTCCAGAGCCCTCCTTTGCCTGGCATCTCCCTGGGGATCAGGGAGTACTCCACCTCCCCAGTGAGCTCTAACAAGGCAGCTTTCGCGTTTTCTTCCCTCCAAAACATCCTCCCCAGTACTCGGTAGGGCACCTGGGGCATGGCGGCTTGGAGAGTCTCTTCGATCTCAGCCTCATCACAGTTCACGGGGATGCCCCAGACCAACAGAGCCCTCTGAGAGTTCACGTCCATGCCCCTGCACCAGTCTTCCAACAGGGTCATAGCCATCTCGCCCAACTATCAGTGAGGGTGCCAGTTCTACGAACACCGCTTGGGCCGGCCCACGGCGCCACAGGACCCAGGACAATACGACATGCTCACCTACCCCCGCTAGGCCAGGGGGCGACAAGCTTCAGGCAACCACGGTCACCGAGCGACCCCGCGGTGTCCCGGCTCGCCCCCTCCGGAATCAGCGCTGGGAACCGCGGGTCTCTCCGCCTATCCTCGAACGTCCTCGCCTGGGGTCGGGGCCGGGGTGGGCTGGCTGCCGCGGTGCGTGGCGTCAGCGCGCGCAGGGCGAAGGCCAGGTGGGCGTGGGGCGGCGGGCGCTGGGTGGGAGCCGGCCGGGTGCGGCGCGGGGCGGGGCAGCTCCTCCTGCCGTCCCCGGGCCCGGGCGCGGCCTTGGCAGGAGCGGGGCGCGGCGGCGCCTACCAGGTCCCGCGACGGGAGCCGTGCCAGCCGGCGAGCACCGGGGACCGAGGCCGCGGGGAGGCCCGGGAGGAGCAATGCCCAGCGCCGGCGACCACGCGCTCCCGCAATGGCCGCCGCGGTGGAAGGCGGAACCGGTCCCCGAGCCTCCCCAGGGTCGCCGTGGCAACCGTGTCCATGACGACGGAGATGGGCGGGCTCCAGCAAATCTGGCGGTTGCTATGGTGCCGAGGAGGCGTTTGAGGAGTCTATTCTATGCTGGCGCATTTCTCCCCTCTTCCCCCGCCCCTCGTATTTCCCAGACTCTTTTCTTATCAATATTGCTAAGCATCATTTTTTTTAAAATCTAATTTTGTTATATATTTAAGTTGGCCTTATCGATATTCATCTACTATGACCTGTCTCATGTTACTCATCCATTCTATGCATTCACTCTATGCTAGAAAACACCCAGCGCTCTAACTTCCCTCTACCACCTGATCGCGTTCTGCAGCTGCTCTGCTCCTCCCCATGAAAGAGAAGCGAGAATGCCATCTACAGGTTCTTGCGGGAGACTGGGCTGTCCTGTCTAAATTTTATAAATGTACATAAAACATGTATATTTTATGTAAAAACATTTACATGTACGCACGTATGTACGTTAACAACAAAACTCATCTTTGAAGCCAGGCAAACTGCAAACATTTCCCCTTCTTGGAGAAATGTTCCCCTTAGTGAATATATAGGGTAACAAAAGAGAAATGCGTTCGGCTCCGAAATGTGGGGGAAGTTCCCAAGTTCCCTTCGAGCAAAGCAAGGCCTATCAGTCCCAGCTGATAAAAACGCCCCTATAAGAATGTGGCATTCAAACATTAATTTTTTTTAAAACCTTATTTAATAAAAGGTCTTAAGATACAGAACATTCAAAAGTAAATAAGTTACATTGGTACATTACAATCACATCAGCAAGATTCTCTTTAGTGTATTAATTTCTTTATAAAAAGCACACAAAAAATAAAATTTTCAGTCTTGTCTATCACAACTGTACAGCAAAGAGGTAATATTTATATATATATGTACACTATTTTTTAATATGTAACAGTCTTTTTTAAAAAGAGTGCCACAGGCAACAAACACGTGAAAGGCAGTGTCTGATCATTTTGTTTCAAAATAAAAGGAATATACTAATTTTTATGCTAATAAAATATCTGTACAATAATCACAGACTGTCAAGGCTGTCCCTGTGCTCTGTCCTCTTCCACAAGGCTTTCAACGTAAGAGACAAATGAGGAAAAGTTCTAACAGCTGCAAAACTTTTTTTGAGGCAACAAACACAGCCAAATGTGGGTTAGACACAACTGTTTTATAAAAATATGCATACTTCCTGTAAAAACCTAAGGGGTTAGGCTATGCCAGTCGAGTAATAAATAACTACCCAGAAAAGTGAGCCCCAATAAAAACATTTACACAGCTGAGGCTTGAGGATGTGTTGTGGTCCTCCTTAGTCTTTAACATCTGGCACAAGAGAAGAAAGAGGTTAGGCGACTGAGGCAGTTAAATATAGGCAATCCCTTTAGACGTGAGCAGCACAGGGGCCTCTGTGCCAGGGGTGGAGGTGGGGTGGCGTAAGGGTGGGCGTGTAACCTTAGCTGTGAAGGGGCTGCTGAAGGCGTGGAGGGCAGCAGTAAGGGCACTGCCTCCTTAGATGGGCAAGAGACCTCAGAAATGCTCCAACACAGGCACTAATGTCAGTTTCATGCCCTCTGAATGTAGGGGGAGGCTGGGAGACAGGCGGGATGACACGGTAGAGGGAGGCTATTGTAAAGCTGAACTTGTTATTCTTAAAGCAAAAGGCTCTCAATAGGAAGGAAGGAAAAAAAAAAAAAGCCCAAAATGTGTTCATGAGAAAGCACCAATAAAGATGTGCCTGCGCCAGCCTCTGTGGCTACTTGCCGCAAGAGGATCTGCCTCAAAATATTTCAGCCTTCACACTGCACCCTGGGGCGTGGCCCCTCTAAAAGCATCTGGTATCTGGTGGGATCACTACCTGAAGGTACCATCTTGACTTTTTTTCTGGTTTATATTCACCTGGTCTGGTCTCTGTAAACTTAGAAAAGTAGAATCACTTTTTTTTTTTTCATTAAGATTTCCAAAAAATCAGCTGGTACCACTGAAGAGAAGTCTCATGAGGCTGAAGGTGTCTGATATCACATGTCCACCAAGGCGCCTGAGCCAAATATGATTTCAGTAGGAAAAACGAAACAGAGAAAAACCTTGGAGAAAAGTAAGTAGCACTTTGGGGCTAAGCTGTGAAGGCACTCGTTATACAAGCGACTTAGAGGAGAACCTAAGTTGTGTTGCCCTCCTGCTTCTAGAGGGTACCGAATTTTTGCAACCTCGGACTTCGAGTTTGTAGAAGCCTATGAAAGAAACAAACAGGGAAACTGAAGGTTTAGGTAACTGTGCAGGGATCTAGGGGGGCGTTTCTGTTACTTGCACAGGCAGCTCTCATAGAACCATATCAATGTGTAAGTGAATGTAAAAAATACCCAACAGTGCATAGCTTAAAAACGAAACTCCACTTCTCTTTCCAGTTTCCAACAGGGCTGTAGGTATTTCCTAAGAATAGTGAACAAATCCTTTTCACCTCTTTACTAACACTGACAGGGTCAGACACACATCCAGACTTTCTTCTGTACAACTGAAGTAATGGTATCAGAAAAATACCTAGGCCCCCTATGGAAATGGAAAGCAAAGGGGCCTCTAGAACATTCTGACCCTTTTGGTAATTTCATGCCAAATATGTTGGTGGTGGTGGTTGTTTTTTTTTTTTTTTTTTCAAGCCAGAATCCAGGCTGATAAAACAAAACTAGAATTCTGGCTTCCTCCCAACTCCCTCAAGCATTTTCAAAGTACAGAAAGGGCAGGACAGAGAACTGCCTTTGATCTCACCCACATCTGTTAGTTTCCTGTGACTGGTAACTCCCGCCTTCCCAGCCAGTTCAGTGCTACCATCATACCTACTGGCAAGAGCAATAAGGTAAGGGACCCGAGGGCCTTGGAATTGGGGGACGGGCTGGGGATGCCAAGAAGGTGCCTTATTTTGGGATAAATGCACTTGGACCTCTGCAAAGCAAGAGGCCCCTGGTCCCTGAGGATGTTAAAAATTAAATATTAGCAATAAATAAATAGTTCCCAAATGACACGAGTCAAGGAATGAAGGCTCCTGTCTAAACTAGTTAGGAGACATCCCCCTCCCAGGGAAGGATCCAGAAATCTCCAGCATGCAGTATGGGGGGGGGGGGCGGTGAATATCGATATTAAGTGAGGTGTACTGGGGTTAGGTGGCGGCTACCGTGAGCAGGCCAGGTGAGAAGGGAGCTGGCACCGAAGAGCAGGCCAGGCCTTTCCAGGACCTGCTTGAGGCTCCCTTAGCAGCCTCCAGGACCCAAAGGTACAAGATGGTAGGTAGCAGGGAGGGTCATCAGGCCTGTGGAAAGATCCCTCAGGCCTAGCTCAGCATCTTCCAGCCTCTGTACACTTCCCTTCCCTACAGCAGGCTGAGAGCAGAGGCATGAATACCAGGTCCTTCCTCAAACGTTTGAGAAGACTTTCCCAGCCCAAGTCGGGCTGTTAACAAGCAGCAAACGGGTTGAAACTGCCCTTGGGGATACTCCTGAGGAAGTGGTGACCTTAAGACGGGACCATCGGAGCAGCTCCAGGCCTGGGCACACTTGCGCAGGGACAACACAGCTGTTAAGGCCACCATTCTCTAAGGAGTCCCTTTTGGGGGTGGCTGAAGGGGGCGCTTAGGGCGAGGTTTGCACAGCCGTCCAGGTCCTCTGGGGAAGGAGAAATAACGCTGCCACGGGGTGAGCTTGTGCTTGGCTTGCCATGGTGGCTCCCTAGGGACCTGGGATGAAAGAGGCAGAGATGCAAAACTGACTGGCGACAGCAGAGATCAGAGAGGCAGCTGCAGAGCCCTTCCGGCCCCTCCGGAAGGGGCTCTCTCAAGGCTCCAGGAAAGCAGAACTCGGGGGACAGACCAGATACCGAGAGAGAGAACTGGGTCCTGCAGCCCTTAACACTGTCCTTGGCCTTTGTCAATAAAAGGGCCTGTTTATTTTTCATCGGCGGGTTTGTTTTGCAGGGCAAGTTCCGCGTGACCCTCTCCTGGCTGCCTCTTGAGGATCCGGGGTGCGGGGTGGGGAGGGCTCAGCCCTTCTCGCCTTCGCCGCTCTCTTCCCTCAGCGCCTGCTGGTGAGCCGCGGCCGCGGCGGCCTCCTCCTTCTCCTTCAGCCTCAGGGCCGCCGCCTTCTTCTCCTGCTCCGAGTGGCTCTTCATGTGAGCGCTGCGGCTCTTCACCTTGTAAAACACCCTGGCGCGGGGCAGGAGGGGGGCAGGGTGAGGGGCCACCACCCCGGGGCCGGGCGGTGCCACCCTTCACTCCACTCCCTCAAACCGCAGTCCTCCCCACCCAGCCCCGCCAGTCCTCACCGCTCCCACTTGGGACGGTGCCACTCCGCCCCTCCCGCCCCTTTTCCAACCATCCCGCTCGGTGGTGACGTCACTGCCCTGGAAACCAGCGAGCCAATCCAAAAAATTCAGATCCCGGCGCCCCGCCCCCGCAGCTCCGGGACCCCAGCTTGGGGGACTCCTCACCTGCCGCACTTTTTGCAAGGGAAGGTGTTCTCCTGGTTTTGCGTCTTATTGAAGGCCTCGGCTTTTTTCTTCTTCTCGGTGAAGGGCAGCGCCCTCCGTGACTTCCCCGGCCCCTCCCTCAGCTTGTCTGAGGTCTGAGCGCCTGCAGACCCTGGGGCGTTGGGTTCGTGGCTCCGGAGAATGAGGACGTCATTGGCCTGGAGACAAGCAACAAGGAGGGCGTGTTTAAGAGGCAGGTGTGGATCCGGAATTCTGCTATCCCGGGCAACAGAGAGGCCCTAAAAAAGTCCATACAGATACCCCCCCCCCCAGGCCTTCCAGTAACCAGACCCCTTGGCGACCTCCAGGGGGGTCACTACAGCTTGGGCTGGCTCTAGCTCTCTCAGAGTGGCTGGCACAGTCATTCTGTGCCACATGCTGGTAGTTATATCACTATTTATTGACTCTGTGCTCATGTTTGCTGACATTTAGTCCAATCATGTCTCCAGGCCAGAAAGGCATGTGTTCACATGATGTGCCAGGTGGTAGAGAGGCAGGTCCTCAGTGTAATGAAAGGGACAGTCGTGACGGGTCACTTGCCGAGGGAATGCCAGACTGTGTGTGTGTGGGGGGGGAGAATGGGTGTCAGCCGAGAGCAGAGGCCCCACAGGGTACACCCCAAAGAGGTGACTTCTTTGGCCTCAGGCCAGCAACCCCAGCTGGCCCTCAGAAGTGATAAACGTGGCCTGGGTCACCCCTCGGAGGGTTCACAAAGATGGCAGAACTAGACAAGCGCTAGCACGGCCACCACACGGCTCCTGACAGGAGCGCAGGCTAGCTCAGAGGAAGTCAGCAGCTGTGTCTGCTGACAGGTGTTCCACAGAGAAGCATGTACATAAACTGCCATCTCTCTGGCTTCCTGGGAGGACTCTCCTGACAGGGGAGTCTCGATGAAAGGCCTTGCTTAGCCTGTGACGGGACAGAGCCCAAAGCCCTGGGGTGTACCTTCGGGCAAGACAAATGGCATCCCTGGACCTGACCTCCCCCCTCTTCTGAGTACCAGCTAGCACTTCGTGTGGTTCCTATGAGAAACTGGTGAGGTAATGGACACAAGGCACTCAGCCAAGAGCATGAAGGGCCATTACTGGTTTTCTCCTAGGCTCAGCTCTTCAGTCATGTCAGGCAATGCTCTAGGGCAGTCATGACTGAGCTCCAGCTTATGAACGCTTCCTCCAAGTTGTACACATCCACTGGGTTTTCACAAGACTGTCTACCTCTGCACCTCAGACACAGGAACGCTTCTACAGTGCGCGTGTACGTGTGTGTATATATGTATATATGTGTGTGTGTGTGTGTATAACATTCATGTATCTTATATATTGTATATTTATAATAGAAAAAGAAATTGCAGACTGGATCATGCTGTCTCCATCATCTTCAACCTCAGTTTGCTCAGCTATACAAGGAGATTTATAGTGGCTCTTAACACAGAGGGTTGAGGCCCAAATGACGACATGAGATTCCTGGTCCACTTCCTGAGCTACAACCGCCGGGATCACCATGGTCTCGCTGTCCCCCCATCCACACCCCCCAGGCCTGGCTCAGGGAGGGAAGGTGGGGGTCACTTACCGCCTCATTGGCCTGTAGTGTCTGCGTAGCTTTGACAGCAGCGGCCCGCCGGCTGCGTTCCTGGCCCTCTTCCTGCTCTCCCTTCTCCCGGGCTTCTGGCACCTCCTCCTCCCCCTCCTTCCTGGGCTCTTTCACTTCCCTCTTGGGCTCCAGCCTCTTTTCACTTGGGGACTCTCTTCGGGGAGGAGGCACCCTGGGGAACTTCTGAGAAGTCTATGGGGCAAGAACGCCCTCAGTCATTCCAGAGTGCAGGCTATGGTCCGGCCCAGGCTCCGGAGCACCTGCTGGTCCTGCAGCCCCATCTTGGCCCAGGGCAGCCTCCATCCTAAGTCACAGCCCTCCCATGGCCAGTTGGCCCCAGAAACAGGATAGTTTTGACCCGGGGTGCCCTCACAGTGGGACTGGACTGCTATGGAGGAAGCAAGCCAGGACCCACAAACCACCTGGCCTCCTGGACAGATGCCCAGAATCTTCTGGGCGCCCTTTGGGCAGGGTGACCTCGTGTAAAGCAGGAGCTCGGAACTCCAACCTAACTATCTGTAACACTGTCTCTATCTCTACTCCCCACCTGCAATCTGGGGACCCAACTACTCCCTGGTCTTAAAGTTAGCATGCCACCAAGTATAGACTTGTAACCTAGAGACAATGTCAAGAGGATTCATGGGCACAGAATTAAAGCGCAGCATCTTTCAAGGGTGAAGTTGGGGTTGGTGCTAATGTGCCTCTTCTGCTTTCCTAGACCTGATAATCTGTTTAAGTGAAAAGGCAGCCGTGTCTCAGAGTCCTGGCAGGCAACCGCAGCATGTAGCTGGCTTTTAGTAACAGTGTTTGGTTTTCATGTGTACTTATTTTTCCCGGTACCTTCTATTTATGGGAAGAAATCCTGGTTTTCTATGTATGATTATAATATAAAGCTTTCCTTTTGAGAAAACAAAAATGAAGGAAAATCAATAATGAAAGTTGTGCAGGACATAACAGGAATAGTACGAGTGGCATGTGTTGAGGCACGGACAAAGCAGAAACCCTGAAGGCGGTGCGAGAAGGGCTGGAGCTCAGAAGCGGCATTGGCGGCCTGCTCCGAGGACGCAGCAGGGCGAAGCTGTAGTCGATAAGGGAGAACTCAAAGTTCAGGGCCTGGGTCACGGGTCCCTGCTCTCCTCTCTAGCCTCTGTCCTGAAGCTTCCGGTGAGGTCTGGCCCCAGGTGCAACCGAGCGTGAGGCGGCAGGGGCAGGCGAGGGGCTCACCTTAAGGTCCACTTCCACCTCCTCCTGGGCTGACTTCTCATCGCTCATGTCCACATCGCCGAAGGTGAGGGTCCCATTGCGGCCAATTTTCACCTGTTTCTTATAGGTGTAGTAGAACTCCACGCACTGGGCCACAGTCTTGGTCTGGATCTGAATAAAAGACAAAACAGGGTCAGGGGGGGCCCGACTCGGCTCACCCTTCTTGTCTCCACCCGCCTCCTTTAGCCTTAGGCCAAACAGCTAGACCCCAAACCCTATTTCTGAATGTCTGCTCGGCGACAAACCGCTGCCCAATAACGGAGGCTTCTGCAGCGTGTCAGCGAGTAACACCAGGACCAGAACTTCCGGGGAGATTTGCCTACGGACCACATATTATAGGGCTGTGACCTATGAGAGCCCCAATTCAAGAGGCAGCACTAGGGCAGCAGGGCCAGGGGGGACCCAGAGCCTTGCCTGGGTCAGGATCTATAGTCTAGCAGTACGACTGAACTCATTCTGATCCCTCATAAGCTTTGCAGAAGTTCCCAAGCCTCCTCCCAGAGTCCCCAGGTGAAAGGGGTCCACCATCCTAATTTCTGCTCTGCACCTGTAAGCAATGAGCGATGTGATGCTTGAAAGCTTGATCATCTCCGCAGCCGAAACTGCTCGATAATGCTAAGGAGAGTTACACTTCAAGATAATCCCCTACCCCTGTACTAGGGAGTGAACACAGGGTCATGCACATGCTGGGCAAATGCCCTTCCATTAAATAGTACTTCTAATACTACCCCTGTTCTTCGTTAATTTTGAGGCAGGGTCTAAGTCATCCAGGCTGGCCTTGAACTCACTTCAGTAGACCAGGCCGGTTCTGAACTTGAGTCCTCCTGCCTCACCCTCCCAAACTGCTGTGATTACAGGCCTACACCTCCAGGCCCAGCTGCAGCTTACTGTCAGTGATTAGCTGAAACAGGAGGGAAGAAGGGAGTTGTGTGTATCTCATGGGTGTGTAACAGGATAAATGGTAAAACTGTTAAATCTTAGCCAGGTATTAATTAATGGGTGTCGGTGGAATTACCCTTCGACACTTTTTGTACCTTTGAATTTTTAAAACATTTGTATATATTTTTATTTCACATGCACAGGTGTTTTGCCTGCATGAATGTCTGTGAGTTCCTCTGTAGCAGCTTGTTGTAAGCTGCACGTGGGTGCTAGGAATTGAACCTGGGTCTCTTGAAGAGCAGCCAATGCTCTCAACTGCTAAGCCCTCTCTCCAGCCCATTTGACAATTTCAAACTAAATAATATCTGGCATCTTCCACATCCAAAGCCAATAGAGCAGTGCAAACTCCCTTCATCCATCAGGGAAACAATTTCCGCTCCTCTCCAGGGAGCAGTGCCAGGCGAGGAAGAGAAATGTTACAGTGTCATGTCCGGGAGGATTCTGGGAAAACCATTAAAAAGAAAACTTTGGAAAACCCAAAGAGGAAACAGAAGGCCAGTAGCCTTGCTACTAACTGCCACCAAAGGGCTGTGCATCCTAAGGCAAGTCACTCCACCTTCCTAATTTCTGTTTTTTCATGTGTGAAGAGCAAGTGATGTGATGCTAGAACGAACCACAAGATCATCTCCATTGCCCAACCCCCTCTCTTCAGGGGGTAGGGAGTTGGTTTTTCCAGACAGGGTTTCTCTGTGTAATAGCCTTGGCTGTCCTGGACTTGCTTTTAGACCAGGCTGGCCTTGAACTCACAAAGATCCACCTGCCTCTGCCCCGGGGTGCTGGGATTAAAGGCGCGGAGCCCTACGCCCAGCTCTGAGGGACCTAACTCTAACATCTAGCTCTCCCATTTTGTTCCAATTCTAGTATATGTGTTGCCAAATCAAGCACTGGCTCTCCCATTTCCTAGAACTATTTGACCACTGGGCTTGGTTTGGGCGACATAGTCCCACACAGGGACTGTTCTGTCTGGAGAGCTCAGAAGTCAGCAGATCCTCTCTGCAAGCCGTGTGGCTTACAAAGCTGTCTCTGAGGCTACTTAGCGGCAGCAATCTAACTTCAGTGATGGGGCTTGAACTCAGGCACTCCGGGCAAGCACCACTTGGTGAGTGGCCACAGGACCCCTCCCTCGCCCCTGCTCACCAGCTTCTGCACCAGGAAGAAATCTTTCTTATAGATGGCAATGCCCTTGTTGAACAGCTTCCTCTCCGCCATCTTCCACTGGTCAGAGCCTGCAGGGCAAAGATGGTGCCAGGCTGTGAGTCGGGCAGGAGCCTGAGCATCTGCACTCTGAGGATGACTCTGACCCACTGAAAGGTGTGAGGCCGTCGCATCTGCCTCCCAGCTTCCTAAAACTTCAGCCCCCGAATAAACATGACAACCTGTCTCTCCAGGTCCGAGAAGGACTAAGTGCTTTAAGGCAGGAAAACCTTTTGGAGCTCCGCCTGGTACAGGCAAACGTAGAGCTAACTGAGGCTCACAACAGTAGCTGCTGGGTTTGCATGACTGCACGAACATCCCTCCTACAGTACCGCATCTAGAATAGCACAAGCAAGGCAAGGCTAAAGCTCCAGAAATCAGCTTTGGCTGCACTCCCTAGGTTTCTGACCTTTGTACCTCTGACCTAGTCTTTCTCTCTCTCTCTCTCTTTTTGCCTGGCTTGCCTACCCACTTTAGACTTCCCCTCAAGGGCACAGGAAGCCCCCAAGGGAGCTACTCGTCCTTGCTACTAGTTTCCGTGCTTTGGCTGTTGGCTGACTCTCCCTGTCCCAATCCTCATTCCAGGATGTCACTCAGCACCGTCCAGGGGCCCAATCCATGCTGGAGACCCTTGAGGCTCTGGGCCACAGGCCCACCCCAGTCAGGCCCACCTGTGTAGTGATACGTTGCCAGCGGGTGATTGTGGGGCCGCAGGGGCTTCTTCAGTAGCAGCTTATTCAGCGTTTCCTGGAGGGGACAAGAGAACAGTGAGGAAGCTGGCCAACAGCCACAATGAAAGATGGAGTAGCCCAGGCTTGGGCAGAGAGCCTCCTCAGGTGTCTGGGTAGAGTAAGCACTTACTCTTGCCTGGCTTAACTGCATGGAAGGACAGGCTGCTCAGGATTCAGGCCATAAGGCCATTGCAGGGATGCTTTAAGGGAGCCAACGACCAAAGCAAGTAGTATGGACAGAGAATGTCCTCGGTGGCACTCCTATCTGGGTCTGGGGATCTTACTGATCTAGAATCAGGGGTTAGATTCCACACTAGGACCTTTCAAACCAGCCAGGGTTTGACACTTAAGAGTTTCCTTAGGCCAAACCCCAATAGCCTCTTCTTTGGTTAGAGCCCTTGTGGCTGCCTCAAATCACTATTCCAAGTCATCCCCATGCTCAGGAGGCAAAGGCAAGGCAGACGGTCACGATTTCGAGGGGGTTAAAAAAGAGAGAAAAAAAGAAACACACACCCACAAAGATGTATGCAAAAGAGCAAACATAAATAAACATTTTATACCACCAGGCCTGGTTCTGGCAGCAGACAGGGAGACATCAGCACCTGCCTTCCTAAGGGACCTCTTGAATTGACAAGGTTGTCTTACCAGGATGTCCCCCCTGGATTCATGCAGATAGTGCAGGGCCAGTTCCTGGTTGGTGCCAGCACCGGGGAAGATGCTTGAACAGGCAGCTGTCAGCAGGTCATCCACTGGATTCACCGGAAGGACAACAGGAAGTCATGCTCAGGGCTGAACCTTGCAGGACCCAGCCGGCCCATCTGCTCACCAGCCTGCCACGCCCCGCTCACTGGAGATCTCTCCTTACCTTGCCTTTGCTTCTCTCGGCTGCTCTCAAGATGTTCCCACGGCTGCCACACTAGGTCAGCCTTATGGGGATCTGCAGCTGCCAGGGCCCGGTCTCTCATCATGGGAATTTCTGCTTGGAACCGGGTACCAACGTTGATCCGTCTGCAGGGGTGGAAGGGCAGGGAGTGAGGCCTCACCTTGTGGGGACAGAGAACCTGACTTTCTCCCTAGAATGGGAAAAAAACGGTGCAGTTGGCGGATGCTGAATGCAGCAAGGCCATAGCTGGATGAGGGAATCTGGCTTCTAGGGACAGTGAGAACACACTGGGCCCTGCAGGCTCAGGAGGGGAAAGCTACTCCTCCACATTTGACAAATAAGGAGAGTCTCTTGGAAACCCCCACCCCACCCCCAGCTCTCCCTAGTGACAAATTCAAGCCAACCTGGTCCTTCCCTTTCCTCTCTGCAACTTCCACACGAAAGCTGGCAGAGGACAGCAGAGCCCAGGACAGACTACAGAAGCCCTGAGAGACTGCCTGGCTCTATGTAGCCCCCACACAGCCCTGCTCTTGCTCCCAAAGCTAGTCTGCAACACATCAGGGGCCCCTGGCCACCCACACGCCACAGGGCCAGGGCAGGGCTGCACTTACGGCTCGATGCTCACAGGGGTGGCCTCCCCCATCACCGAGAGGACGGGTGGGGTGACTTCAGAACTGTCTATGGGCAAAGAACATGTTGGTAAATGGCCCCTTCCTCCCCTCAGGAAAACACTCCCGTCCCAGTCCGCCGTCCCGCACACACAGGAGTCACGGCGGTGACTCACCAAGTACACTCAGAACTTAGGCACCTGGTCCTTGCTCTGCAACCTGATGACTGTGCAACTCAGGCCCTTTATTGAACATGTGCAGGCCTCAGTTTTCACATCTGCAAAAGGGGGCTGTTTCTTTCTATCTCCTTGCGGGAATGAGAATTCTGAATTAAGCAAGAGCCTGGAACTCCCGTTTATTAGCTAGTATGCCAGCAAGACCACCAAAGCCCAGCTCCTGCTGCCAGGAGCTCCCACTTTATACAACAAGCTTCGGTACAGAATTATGCTTTGCTTCTCTTTTATTCTAGCAAAGAGGCTGAGCGCAGGCAAGCCAGGGAGACAGCACTCTTTAATAATGATCTTTTCATTTCCTCTCTGGAATTTTATTTATTTTTTGCCTCACTTTTCCTCCAACTTAACCTGACTGCATCAAGATACTCCCTTCCTCAAAACAAAACAACACACAAAACTTCTGTTGCTGTCCCCCTGTTAGCATGACACAAAACCTGAAACCCTCAGCTGTTCAAGGCCTTTCCCTGTGCCCGCCCCTCCCCCACCCACGGCCCAGACTCCCGACCACAGGGGCTAACCTCGTGGCCCTCCTTCCCCCTGCTCAGTCCCAGTGCCTGCCCCTCCCACTCTGCAGTTCAAGCTCAGCTCTGTCTCCACCCCCTCCCAAATTCCTTCCTTATCTCTCCAGGCTTCTGCAGGCTACAGACTGTCAGCCTCATTCACTGGGTGTTGGTCCTACAACTGCTAGGAACCTCTGCCTTTCTACCTCCCAAGCTTTCTGGTCACTTCCCTAATGATCCCAACCGCACTTTCTTTAGACTAGGCAGTGATGTCCCACACATTCTTGGAGCCCAAAGAGGATACAATTCAAGGTCTTACACCCAATGCTCAGTAAACACTTGTTGGGCCAGCTGACATCTTCTCGGCTGTCTGCTCTCTTCAGCACAAACCGAGCCGGAGAGAGAAACTTCCCAGGGTAGAAAAACCTACTACTGTTTGCCAGCAAAGGGCAATTTCCACCCACAGACACCAGGAGGCACTAGAGAGCCACACCAAGGACAAGTGGGGTCAGAGGTTAACAGGATGAAGAAAGCACCTGTAAGGGATCAGGTGACTCCACTTTCCAATCGAAAAGAACCCCTTTGTGAATTGGACTTTTTTTTTTAGTCTCACACCATCCAGGCCTGTTCTTGACCAAAATGACTGTTCAACAGGCACAAAGGACCAGATCAGTCACCTACTATGAATGATGCTAACGTCTCTGATCCCCACCACAATCCACAGAGGAGGTAGCCATTAGGCTGAACCATAGGGAACTGCTATTTGTCAATCAGCTGAATATCGGCAACTCTATCATCAGCCAAGCATGACTAATCCCTGCCCAACACTGAAGGGACTGAGGTCTGAGCAGATCGGCTTGCACGGGGAATGTGACAGTCAACAGTGGCACCAGGATCAGAATCCAAGAAGCCTCATCCCAGGCCCCCTGCCCTGGGGGGATAGATGCAGAGTTCCTCCTACAGCGTCCAGCCGCTATAACCACCCAGCAGACGGACCGGTCCCTCCAACCTTCCCACCACCACGGCCACCCCGAGGTCACTCACTCGAGCGGAGCAGGGTACGATGGGCGCTCTTTGGCGTGACGGGAGGAGGAGCTGGGATGCTGCTGGTTGATATGATAGCATTGAAGTAGAGGCCGGAGCCTTCCCGGACGGGGCTAAGGATGGGGGGTGGCGTGTAGGGGGGCAGCTCAAAGCTCCGCTCGGAGGGGTGGTCAGCAAGGCGGACGGGAGAACGAAGATGGCTCTGGTAGGGGGTGATGTTGGAGTAGACAGGAGGGGCGATGAAAGTGCCAGCCTTGGTGGGGATGATGAGGGGCTCCGGCCGTGGCCGCTGCTTTGGTTTCCTCATGGAGGGCTCCCCCTCCAACTTGACATTCAGGTCTTCAGCCTGGAGAAGGAAACAGACAGAAGAGGCTCAGCCTCTTGTGCCCCCAGAAACCAGCAGACTTGACCAGATTCTGCCGGTGTCATCTCCAGAACTACCTGTGGGCTGTCTCGGCCAAGGCAGTCTGGAAGATGAGAAGAGCTGAAGCCCAGCTCACTGTCTCCTCTGGGCAGATTCAAAGGCTAGCAAACCTCACAGAGAGGCCAGGGTAAGTGTTTAGATCTTGGAAGCCATCTGTTCTACTTTCACTCTTTCTTTCTTTCTTTCTTTCTTTCTTTCTTTCTTTCTTTCTTTCTTTCCTTCCTTCCTTCCTTCCTTCCTTCCTTCCTTCTTTCTTTCTTTCTTTCGGCTAGGTGATGGTGGTGCACGGCTGTTAATCCCAGCACTTTGGGAGGCAGAGGCAGGCGGATCTCTGTGAGTTCGAGGCCAGCCTGGTCTACAGAGTGAGCTCCAGGACAGCCAGAGCTACACAGAGAACCCCTGCCCTGGGTTCTGTAAGAAAGCAGGCTGAGTGAGTCATGATGAACCATGGCGGGCTTGCTGCAGCTCCAGCCCGTTTCCAGCCTTCACTTCTTGTCCTGACTCCCCTTCATGCTGGACTGTGAACTCTAAGATGAGACAAACTCTCTCCTGTTCAAGTTGCTGCTGGTGTTTATCATAGCCAACAGGAAAGATGCCTCCTGAGTGCGCCAGACATCCAGACAAAACCATCTCTCACTATTTACAGGTAGGGGATTTCAATTGTTTTGAGTAATTTTTTACTTTTAAGAAAAAGAAGCTAGGGGGAAGAGAGGCAGGAAAGGAAGAAAGGCAGGCAGTAGTATGTATGTATTCTGATTCCAGCCAAAACTGTTTATGGCAGAAATGATACAATGTGAACTGTGCCTCAGAATAATTCAAGGTCAGAGGCGGAGGCGGAGGCGGTGGCGGTGGCGGTAGCAGCACACACCTTTTAATCCCAGCACTCGGGAGGCAGAGGCAGGCAGATCTCTGAGTTTGAGGCCAGCCTGCTCTACAGAGTGAGTCCAGGACAGCCAGCGCTGCAAAGAGAAACCCTGCTTCAAAAAAATCAAAAACAAACAAAACAAATAGTAAGAGAATAAATCAAGTACAGGTGAGATAAGACTGTCGTATTTTGAGGTGACTGTGAGAAATGATTAAGCATTCACTCACTAGACCCTTCTCGGTTTTTATGCATGATCAGAAATGTCTGTAATATAAAGAAATACACTTAATAAACAAGTAACAAAATATAAACTCCCTCCCACCCCCAGCCACAGAAGGAGACCCCAGAAAGCAGACAACCTTGGCCTTCTTATCCTGGAGGATAAGAAGTAATCCTGGAGCCCTCTAGTGTTGCGAAAACCCTCACAGACAGGGACTCAGAAGAGGCAATCCGGGGTCAGCTCGGCCATTACCCGGCCCTGTGACCTTAGGTCAGTGCTCAGGTTTGCAGCGGTTAGAAGTTTGACGATGGGGAGAGGGCCGGGGACCTGCACGTGTTGGGCAAGTGCCCTGCCAGTAAGCTGCACCAAGCTCCCTGTGCAAAGGCTGAATATCATTTGCACCCCAAGCACACACTCCCGTGGGGGTTTAACCCTCAAAGCCTCATGTCAGCAGGAGGTGGAAACTGAAGTCAGAATGGTACTTAGAAGCAGGGAGGTGATTGATTAGGTTCAGATAAGGTCATTACAGGGGAGCCACTATTGTTGGATCTTAGGTGGCCTCAGATGAATGCAGACAGAGACCAGACACGCAGACAGACACCTATATTCCCTATCTGTTTTTTGTTGTTGTTGTTGTTTTTTCTCCCAGTGAGGTGCTGCAATTATCTTAGAGCTCTTCCTGCAAGATGACAGTCACCAGAAAAAGCCCCTGGACTTTGTACCTCTAGAGCAAACTGTTAGGCTGTCTCAGGTGTTTGGTTACAGTGATGAAGCGCAGACTGATACAGTCTCTAGACTTTTCTGGACCTATTTCCTCAGGTATGAAATGGAGGTGTTGACTATGGAGTTGCTCAGGCTCCTTCCTACCCCTTCTCAAGACAAACTGCCAGGCCTCAACTTCCAGCCTCTAGCAGACTTTCCCCCAACCCAGAATAAGGCCTCAGAGAGCCGATAAGCTTGAATTAATCACCTCACAGTGATCTTGAAGGCCCTGCCTCTCGCCTTTTAACATGCATGCAGGCCGGCTCTCTGACTGAATAAACAGGAAACCTCTAACTGAATACAAAAAAAAGACATTCCCGAAAATATCAGAACAAACCGCTTGGCAAAGAATTAAAGACCCAAGACCTGGGGTGGGTGTGGGGTCAAACAGTTGAGTCCAACATCTGAGCAGCCTTATGCCTGCGGGTGAATCAATCCTATTACTGCAAGAAGCAACTGGGAGAGACTAAAGGCTAAGCAGAGTTGAACAACTCTAAGAGCTACCAGAATAAAAACTGTGGCTCAGAAGATCGGAGAATGGCAAACAGGCTTGTCCTTACAGGGAATAAGGCTTAAATCGCCTCATCTGTTTCTGATTAAGTAAAAGTGACTCAGGATTTCTAGGGCCCTAGGCCCTAAGGGCCCATCAGAGGTCAAGATAAATCCTCTTGGGAAGAAGAGAATTGGAGGGACACAGACACGGACAGTCAGGCACACACACTAGCCTTTCAGGCAAATTTTAACAATGAAGTCATGGCTTCAGGTGTGGCAAATAAAATGACATATAGAGATGAATTCTAGGAAGTGGAAAGATGTTATAGAAGGCTTTAAAGTGATGTCCATGGTGGGAAGATGCTAAAATGAGTGTTATTGAAGGAAAAGAAGATTGTGCAGAAAATAGTGAGTATGGAGGGCTGGAGAGATGGCTTGGCAGGGAAAGTGCCTGACACTCAAACAGCAGGACCCCAGTTGGGATCCTCGGAACCCACATTAAATAAAAGCCAGATGTGGCAGCAAACACTGGTAATCCCAAGGCTTCGGAGGTGGAGACAAGAGGATCCCTGGGGCCTACTTAGCCAACCAGTCTAGCTGAAGTACCAAGCTCTGGGTTCAGTAAGAGAAAGACATCCAACACCATCCTCTGGCCATCACAGGCACACATACAAGCAGGCACATCTGTACGCATATGCACACATATGAACTCTAACACACAGTGCTGGAGTTACTCCTCCATTTTCAGGATATCTAGTGCTAAAATAACAATGTTAGGGGTCTGTAGAGATGGCTCAGCGGTTAAGAGAACTGATTGCCCTTCCAGAGGACCCAGGTTCAATTCCCAGCAGCCACGAGGTAACTCACAGCTAACTGTAATTTCAGCCCTGAGGAACTGATACCCTCTTCAGGCCTCCATGGGCACCAGGCCCGTCTGGGGCACATGGGTATATGTGCAGGCAAAACACCCATTCACACAAAAGCCAACAAACAAGTAAATGAAACTAAGAGGAGCTGGACATGGCAGCGCATGCCTTTGATCCCAGCGCTCAGGAGGCAGAGTGAGAAGGAGCTCAGAGTTCAAGGCCAGCCTGGTCTACAGAGCTAGTTCCTGGAACCTACTCTCTCAGGGCTTCTACACTGAGAAACCCTGTCTCGAAAAACAAACAAACAAGAAGAAGAAGAAGCAGTATTAGGAGCAGCCCTGTGTTGGGAGCCGGTGTACAACTGTACATTGCACAATCCCAACCTTGCTCTGTTAAGAGAAACTGAGGCTGTGTAGACGGCTCAGTGAGCAAAGTACTCGCCACACTAAGTGTAAGGACCTGAGACTGGATCCCCAGCACACAGTTAGGTCAAGACACGGCATCTCCCTCTGTGATGCCAGCCCTCCTATGGCCAGATGAGAAGTGGAGACAGGAGAACCCTGGGAAGCTTGGAGGCCAAGTAGCCGGAGGACACTCATAGCAGCAAACGGTCAGACTGTCTCCACCAAGGTTGAAGGCACTGAACAGCAGAGGCTGCCCTCCGACTTCCACACACATGATGGGCATACACACACACACACACACACACACACACACACACACACACACTTCTTTCTAAGCTAGGCTAGACGGCCCAGTGAGTACAAACAGTTGCCAAGCCTGGCAACTCAAATTCAATCCCTGGAACACACACAGTGAAAGGAGAGAATGGACTCAAGCAAATTGCCCCTGGCCTCCACATACACACCCTACACATTCACACTCACAATCAAGTAGAGGCATGGGGGCAGGAAAAGCCGTAAAGTCAAATCTACCTTCAGACATCACTGTTCCTTTGAGACCAAGGGTTTTTCTATAAAGTCCAGGTTGGCCTGAGCTGGAAGATCTGCCTGCTCTCCCCCCCAAGCCCTAGGATTAAAGGCGTGCGCTACCATGCCCAGCTCACATTCAGACATCTTGCACGGTCTGATGCTACGTTCTGGATGTGGTTTTCTCCCCAAGGGTTCACAGTGCAGAGAACTGGTCCCCAGCACAGGCCGCTAGAAATGAGGACTACTCAGGGCCATCAAGCTGGGGGCATGGCCTCTAGAAGACACTGATGCTGAGTAAAACTGAGGAAACTCTCAAGAGAGAAAGCTGTTAGAAAGAGCAAGCAAGATTCCTCCTGCTTCATATCTGCCTGTGTGTCTGTCTCTGTCATGCCATCTGACATACTGTGAAGGAGCCAAGGGGATCCTTACTAGAGGCTGAAAACAAAGCCATTTAATCTTGGACTTTCAACCTCCAAAAAACACCAGCTTCGGTTAATGCAGCAACAGAACATGAACTAATACACTTAAAATTCAATTTTAAAACAACCTGATTGATATACAGGAAAGCAAGATGTGATCTAAAAAATTATGGAATGCCAGGGGTGCTGGCACACAGCTATAATCCTAGCATGCAGGAGGCAGAGGCAGGTGAATCTCTGTTTGAGTCCAGCCTGGTCTACATAGCAAGTAACAGGCCAGACAAAACTAGAAAAAAAAAATGGAGTCATGATATAAACCTTTAAGAACTAGATTTATTCCACACAATAAAATTAAAGGTCAGAAGGTTGAGACTTTCATCAAAAAACTTGAAACTCTGGTGACAATCAGGCAGAGGTGAAATGGGGCCAGTGAGATGGCTCAGTGGGTAAAGGCATTTGCCACCAACCCTGACGACTTGCGCTCAAGCTTAGAGTCTCACACGGTGGGAGGAGCCAATTGCCGGAAGCTGCTCTCTGATCTCCACAGCAACACAACGGCACATACGGCCCACATAGGATCGGTCAATCAATCGAGAGATAAATAAACAATAGATGTAAAAAAAAACAGTTCAGATTTTTAAAATTTTGCATTTCTTTTATGGGTCGTGAGTGCCTGCCTGCAAGTCCACGCCACATACATGCAGTGCCCACAGAGGTCAGAAGGGGGCACTGCATCCCCTGAAACTGGAGTTACAGATGGTAGGGAGCCACCACGTGAGTGTTGGGAACTAAGCCTGGGAACTAAGCCTGACAAGTACAAGTACTCTTAACCACTGAGCAACCTCTCCAGCCTCAAATATTTTAAGTTTAGCAACTAGCTGGGCATGGTGGCACAAACTGTTAATCCTGGCAGTAGTCAGGCAGAGACAGATGGGTCTCCGTGAATTCAAGGCCAACCAGGGATCTTACCTTCAAACAAACAAACAAACAAACAAACAAACAACAAAAAAATCAAGTCAGATGGCCATAATAAGCATTTGATGAATGGGTTTAACGCAGCAGACACAACGAAAGAGAGAATTAGCAAAATGAAATAGATCAAACTGAAATTCAGGAAGAAAATAGGAAAAAAAAAAAACTGAGACACAAATGAAATGGACTAACAAACACATAACTGGAAATACAGAAGGAAAGGCGAGAGAAAAAGCTCAAGAAGGAGTTCAGAAGCACTGAACACTCTAAGAAACATAAACAGCAAAACTGTGAAAAACCACCAAACTACACTGCAAATCTTGACGGTGACAAGATAAAAATATTCATTAAAACAACAATAGTGGCTGTTGGTCGTGGCACACGCTTTTAAACCCAGCACTGGGGAGGCAGAGGCAGGCGGGTCTCTGAGTTCGAGGCCAGCCTGGTCTACAGAGTGAGTTCCAGGACAGCCAGGCTAAATAAAAAAACCCTCTCTCGAAACACCAAGTATGCAAGTAAAACAGTGAGTCCTTGATGCTGCAGGGACAATGGAAGCCCGAAGACAATGGGTGAGGTCTTTAAAACTCCAACAGAAAATAGCTACAGACCTAGGTTCCACCCTCAGCAAAGTTATCCTTCATAAAGGATATCAAACGAAACACTTTCAAAAAAAAAAAAAAAATCAGTAAAATTCATCAATCTCAGACTCACACCAAAAGAAAACACTAAGCAGTGTTCTTAAAGTAACATAAATTATCCAAGATGGGAGCTGGAGAAATGAGAAAAATTAACAACAACAACAAAAAATGACACACATAAATGGGGAGATTGGAGCAAATCAACAACACTTAACTAAATAGATATGTTCTGTTGATATTAAAATATGAAGAAACTAAAATACCTGCTGATAATTCTTCAAGGTGGGGATTGGCAGGAAATGGGGTTAAAACCTTGTAGGAACTTTGTTCTCTCCAGGAAGTGGTAAAAGTACTATTCCATTAGATTTTAATAAATGAAGGCTGCATATTTTTTAAGTCTCCTCATCCAGGGAATGAAGCTCTATGCCATAAGGCAGTCACTGTTTAAACCAAGCTGGCCTCTCCCCTACACATCTACAGAGCGCCAGCCATGTGATACCTGTCAGTGAACTAAGAAAGCAGTCTCCCTGCAGAAGTCCAGGTAAGAAGCCTACTACAGTAACCATGAACAGAGAAATTAGTATGTAACTAATATGCTGTTGACGAAAGGGAGATGGGAGTGACAAGCCCAGCCAACTGAAAGCACAACGGGGAGAGGGGAAACAACACAACAGAACACAACAAAGACAGGATGACGTAAGCAGACCACTAACAGCAGTTGACAGAGTTCAACCTAGGTATATCAGTCATTATATAAAGTCGAGATTCTAGCAACAGAGTCTGAAAAGGTGGATCTTCAGTCAGACAGAAGAATGGCTATTGCCAAGGGATGGAGCAGGGGTGAGGACTGCAAAGATGATCACCAAAAGAAACAATTTCAGTAAATGGGAGGTAGAAGTTCATTAGGCCTATTGTACTGTATTACTGTACTGTACTATTGATTATTCTATTAATTTATTTCTCTTAGAAACATTGCTAAGAGACCAGATCATAAATGTTTTCACTATAAAAAAAAAAAAAGACTATGGTTCAATAGGTCTACTATGTATATACCTATGTATATGTGTGTGTGTGTATATATATATATATATATATATATATATATACACACATCATACTGTAGACCATGCATGCAATTTTTATTAATAAGTAGATTTTTTAAACCTGTAAATTGTACTGATGCTCTTATTAAAAGACAAAGGTTGCTAAGGCAGAAAACAGCAAGCCGCAATTATATACTCCTTGAAAATATTCCTGAAGAATACAGAGAAGATGAAAGTGCATGGATAGAAAGAAACAGGCTGCCAACATAACCAAAGGAACCCTGAACACCAAAAGAAGCTAAAGATGAAAAGAAACTCCTCACAGTTAAGTCCCATCCAGGTCCATGTGTGTACACACTGAAAACACTCTATCAAAACAGGGACAAAAGCAATGACAGGAGTAAAAGACCTTAGAGGAAGATTCCACCTCTTCGCTCAGAACTGAACAGAACAAGAAAATGTTTTTACGTCCCAGAAGCAAGCTCAGGGTCTTCACTTTACTAGGAGCCATTAAAATTTCCTGACCTGCAAAAAAAAAAAAAAAAAAGCACATCCTACATTCTCCCTAACAACCACCATTGTCTCCTATCCTCTGCGTACCTTAGTACAAGTTTGATTTGAGAAATAAAAAACAGCCAGTGCTCTTAACCACTGATCCATCTTTCCCCAATAACTGGAAAGTCAAATCAGTGGGTAAGAGCACTGGCTGTTTTTTCCTGGGATCAGGGTTCCATTCCCAGCACCCATGTGGAGGCTCATACTGCCTACAACTACAGATCCAAGGGAATCTCTCTTCTAGATTCCAAGGGTACCAATTACAAGTGGCAAATAGACATAAAACACAAAATTACTTTTTAAAATGTACACTGGGCTGGGCATGGTGGCACACGCCTGTAATTGCAGCACTTGGGAGGCAGAGGCAGGATCTCTGTGAGTTCCAGGACAGCTAGGTCTATATAGCGAGACCTTGTCTCCCAAAAAACAAAACAAAACAACACAACAAAAAAGAAAAGGCAAACAGTGTCTTCCTGGGTTACTTGAGGCCTTTGGAACTAGAAGCCCTCCTTCACTGGACCAGCAGGTGAATACCCCTCTCATACCTGAGCCGGAGCGTCTGTCCCAGGAACTCGGGCGGACCGCCTGCCGGTCACGATGACTGAAGGCTTGTGCTCAGTGGGGTACTGTTCGAGACCCTTCTCATCCTCATCAGCACTTCCAACTTGGGCCACCTCAGTTGGACCCACAGTCCTCACAGGAACAGACACCGGGATAATGAGGGGCGCCATCCCGCTCTCCTCCCGAGCCCGCTTGGCGGCTAAGGCAGGCTCAGAAAACTCCACCCCGCACTTGCCGGTTGAGGCCAAGACGCTCTTCTGCTTCTCCTCAGAGCCATTGGCATCCTGGGTGAGAGGGAGATTGAGGAATGGCAGTGAGGTTCAGAAGAGGAGACCACCCGTCTGCTGACCTGGGGCACCCACGACCACTCAGTCCAGCAACTCAATCACCTACTGCTCTTTGAGAGCCTGGCCTTTCCTGGACCATCCCTCTCCCTACACGTTCTCAGATATTCTCCACAGCCTCCCCTCTGCCTGGCTGCGCCACCCTGGCCTGAAGCAGCAGAGTCCAGGCGGTCATTTTAGTCCAAGGGCGGCTTGCACATGCTTCATCTGACCTACAGGCTGTGACCTGTAACACAGCATCTGGCTGGGGCGAGACCAAGGGAGGCCTTTGCAGCTACTTCCTCATGGTTATCTGACGAGGGTAAAGCCCCCAAATTCTGTAGCCTCCTGGGTGTCACCCTGGACATAAAGGCGACAGTGGCTGGGAGGCGTCTATCCTGACTACATGGCTCAGCTTCTTCACTGAAACCGGGGACAGGTGACAAACCCTTGCTATCCAGTTTGAGGAGAAGTTACTTTTGAGCAAGCATAAAATACCATTAAAACCCCAAGGTTAACACCAAGTGCTCAAATCCTGTTCGGTTTGCCTCCCTTTCTGCCTTTAAAAAAAAAAGAAAGAAAGAAAGAAACTTTATTACAACGTTCCTACCCGCCAAACTCCATTGGCAGAAACCTCAGGGCCCTGCAGGTCTGGGTGCCTCACGCAGGGGTTTTCTGAAGGAAGAACTTCCATTTCCTTTAGACAACCGAAAAAACTATCCTAGAAAGCCCAGCATCGTTTGTTATTTCCCCCCTGACCCTCCCCCATGGCAGATGCAGCCCTCCCTCTCACCTGCAGCGAGGCCAGCTCCACCGCCTTCTGCGCCAGGGTCAGCAAATTAGCCTCCTGGGACGCCCTGCGCCTCCGCCGTGTGCTCTGGATCACCCCGCCTCGTATCGTCTGCCCACAGTCCCCCAGCACCCCAGCCCTCATGACCTCCTCGTTACCCAGGGCAGGAGGCTCCCGACCATTGGGTGCCAGTCTCTCCCCATCAGCCAGCAGCTGCGACTCCCTCAGTTCTAACGGGAATCCCAGGGCTTCAGGATACGGCTGCCCCAGGGCGCCCGGCGGCGGTGGCTGCTGCAGAGGCCAGTGATGGAGGAACAGATTGCCCGCGGGCTCCTGCCCGGCTTGGGTGCCAGCTCCATCGAGGGAGCTGGGAGGCAGAATCCCCTCCTTGGAGAGACGGCGGGAGCGGCGCGGGAAGGACATCTGGGGCTGAGGTAGCACAGGCTGTGGGGCAGCGTCCTGCAGGAGGGCCTTGCGCAGTTCTGGGTTCATGTCCGGGTTGTGGGGGAAAGGGTAAGGGGCCATGCCGTGGTGAGCCAAGTGGGTCTGTCCTAGTGGCCCACCGGGTGCCAGGCCAAAGTCCTGGGGCTGCTGTGAAGGCGGTTGATGCATGGAGTAGAAGTTCTCAAAGAGCTGCATCTGAGGCAGGGCTGCCGGTTGCTGCTGCTGCTGCTGCTGCTGTTGCTGCTGCTGCTGCTGCTTCGGAGACGGGAAGGTGGTGGTGGGATTCGAGGGCTGCGGGCCCTGCCGGAAGACCTGGCGGTTCACCTGGTGACCAAAGGCCAGCTGGAAGGGCTGCAGGGGCAGTGTCTGGTTTGGGGGTTTCTTGGCTGCATGGAAAGAGTTCAAGGGTGCTTGGGGCCGCCCCACCTCCAGGGGCACTGCGTTTCCATAGTGATCCAGCTGGGGACCCCCCCGGTTTGTTTCCCTTCAGGGCCTCAGGGTGGTTATAGTAGGGAGAGACCCCCACGCCTGGATGAGGGCTCCCTTTGGGTCCACTGTAGAGAGACAGGCGGTTCCACGCGGGGTGGGGCGGGGGCTGGCCAGGTTGTTGCTGCCAGCCACTGTCACTGATACCTCCACCCCCTCCACGCTCCAGGCCCCGCCCGGGAGCCATCACGGAGTTGGGCCACTTCACTGAGCTTACTTGGGCCTGCTGGGACAACATGGCTGCCGTGGTCCGCTCAGACCCGTACACCACATTGTTGAGCAGCGCCAGGCTGTTGGGAGGGGGCAGCTCCCCGGGCTGGGTGGTGGAGGCAATCCCCGCTGGACCTTCGTGGGCCCCGTACTGCTCCTCTTTTGCTCTGAGGGACTGTGGTGGAGCCTGCAGCGGCGGTGGCTGTTCCTTGGCAGCTGGCTCCTGATTCCCAAAAGGGCAACGCTTGCGCTTATTCTGAGCCTTGGGCTGGGCCTGGAGGTTCATGGTGCGGCCAACTGAGCCCTGGCAATGAGACGCCCTTCAGTAGCTGCCCATCCCTTGGGAGAAGGTCCTGCTGGAAGCCTGGCCCCAGTCCAGTAGCCAGTGAGGGCGGAAGAGGGGCAGAGGGAAAAACTCAGGAGCCCTCAGGCTGGAGCCAAGAAATGTCCGCTGGTCCTTCCTCTTCTGGAGAGGCTCTTGAGCTCTGCTACACTTCCCCAGTCATGATGCTGCACGGGGTCCTGGAGCCTGCAGAGAAAAAAAGCAGTGACAGGATCAGCCACGGGACCCCTCCGTGTGAGCACCAGTGTCCTCCTGCCTCAAGTCGCCGAGGAGCCCTGTACGCAGGGCACTGCCAGGAAGGCAGCAGGGTCACTAGTCTCCCCGGGTCTGCCCTCTCCTCTCTTCCCACCACCTCCTGGCTAGACTCCACTCTGCTGCATTTGATTGTGTAATTTGTGCCCTGTAAGAAGACACAGGCTTAGGGGCCAGGTGGGGCTGACACATAGCTTAAGCCCCAAGTTAAACTGAGAAGGGAAAACAAAGGACGAACAAAGAGCCTTGTCCTATTCAACCAGGATCCAGCACTGCGCAACCTGGGCCTGGTCCTCCTTACACATCGTCTGTCTACACAACAGCCCCAGACCCGGAAGAATATTCCTCTGGCCCCTGCCTCCTTTTGAAGCAGAGGAAGTCAGGGGACAGGGACTATTCCAGCATGGCCACCCCATACTCTGTAGTCACACCAGGCTCTTGCAAAGCCCGGGGCCCAGAGAGCCAGGCTTGCAGCCTTTTATGCTGAGGCATGTAGGTGAGGCCCCACCCCTGGGAAGAGCCGCTGGGTGGGGCTCTGGCTGCCACAGTCTTTCTCAAACTAGCCGGGAACCTGTTTTGCAACCCTGGCTGGATAGGGGCCCAATTTAGTCTAGTAGCTGGTCAGCAGCCGCTGCCGGCAGCCCACTGCCACCTCCTTCCCCTCTGCTGCTAAAGGGTGGCTGGCTAGAGCAGGGTCTAGCACAAAGGGCGTGGAGTTCTAGAAATTAGGCCCCCGAGGCTTCCCGGGATGGAAAGTGTGCAGTTTTTCTACTTCACCACAGTTTCGTGGGTTAGGTTCCTGGGATTGGGGCTTTATACATGCCAAGCACCTGTGTGAGTCAGGCTCCCCACCTCAATTCTAACTTGATGTTTAAAAGGATTGTTATATGGTTATTGCTACAGAACAGCTGTAAAAATACATAGCCGGCGTTTTAAAACATCCATAGCTGCTTGCTTTATCGTTAACTTTTTGTTCTTCAGCTTATTTCTTTAGTCGGTTGCTTGTTTTCTCCCCGGGAAGTTGATAGGAGTAGGTTATACAGCCCACCAAGTTCCCCAAGATTCTGGCCTTGGCTCACTAAAGTGGGAAGGCTAGGGGTGGGCAAGGGATGAATCCGCAGATGTTTGTAAACTCGGCCCCTGGATGCAACAGAGATTACCATGGCAGGTGGGGCGGTTTCCAGAAAACCGGCAGAGAACAGGCCCCGAGTCACAAGCCCCGCCCACGGGGAGCCCTGCCCACACCTGCAGTTCCCCTCCCAGACACATCACGCTATCGCTGCTCTGCACGTTTCCGCAGCTCCGGCCCTGGCTCCCGGACTGGCCTGCCTGCCAGCCTGGCTGCCTGACTCACTGGAGGCCCCCTCCCTCTCTTTCACTTTCACCCAGCACCGAGAAGGGGAGTAACTTCCTCCTCCATTTCCTTCCTCAGCTCCTGGGCCTGCAGACGGTGGGAGTCCCCCGGCCTGTGCACTCCTTTTGTTTTCATTTGTGGAAACTGCGGGACAGAGGGACAAACGGAAAGAGGGCATTGAACCACCCTAGCACCAGCAGAAAGGGGAGAATTTGGACAAGAGCTCAGAGCCGGAGAACCTGTTTGAACAAACCCTTCTCTTGCTTTTAACGGCGTCCCCCTCTCCCCTCCCCCCTTTCATAGGCAGCCAGACCAATTCACAGCAGAGAAATGAAAGACAGCAGGGGCCGGAAAAATCCTCCTGCGGCCCCCGTGAAGCTGAAGGGTAGGACTGCAAGTTCCACCTATCTGAGGGAGACCCAAACCCCAGGCAGAGGAAGGAAGGACACGTGAGAGGGGAGGAGACAGGCCGCGACAGGACAGAGGGAAGGCCAGCAGGCCATGTGCCTCTAGGGAGGTGCAGGCTCAGGGATGCTCCAACACGCACTTGTGCCTGTCCCCGCTGCCCCCCCCCCCCCGCGGGAGCCACAGCATGGGCTCTGGGGGCCTGGAACAGGGGAAGGCCCACGTGGCAGGCGGACAGGGGTGCATGTGCAGACATTTTCCTGTCAGAGGGGGCCTAGGCAGGGGAATGGCTATTCAGTGCCCGGTTCTGGGGGAAGGGAGGAGCTGGAGAACATGAAATGGAAGTCCGGGAAGGGAGCGCCTCCGGGATGTGGGATACGGTTGCTCTTGCCAGTGGGTGTGTAAGTCAGGGGGTGGGATCAGCTGTTCTGCTTCCTCCCCTGCACAAGAGAGAGAAGCCATCACCAGGCACAGTACAACAGGAGAGACAGGGACTCGCACAAGACAGGAGGCTGGTGTGGGGAAAGGCTCAATCGCCCCATAAGCTTCTCCACAGAGGTTCCCCACAACCTTCCTGCCGTGCAAGCAGAGAACAAGCTTACAGGCCTAAGAGACGAGGAAGTGGGAAGGGCCACCAAGGCAGCCAAGCTCTAAGTAGCCCTGACAGTAATCATGCAGCCGGCTTGCCTGTGCCAGGAGAGTCCAAAGTACTCTGTATATATATTTTTTTAATTCTTATATCAAGCAGCGAGATTTTAACTCCCAATTTGAAGGTAAGCTAGGTAAGGATTACAGGAACAAGGTAATTTGCCTCCGGTCACACATGGTGATGTCACCAGGACTTGAAGGCCGGCATGTCTCTCTCTCTCTCTCTCCCCACATACCACTCTGATTTTAGGCCCCCTGTGCTCACCTTTCCTTAGGCCCAGGACAAGGGCTTGCTGGACACAGACAGCTCTTCATTAGCTCCGGCCAGTCCTCTCCTACTCTTGTTTAAGTTCTGGCAGGTAACCCTCTCCCCAAACATACCTGAGACCTCCAATCTTAAGAGAAGCAAGGAAGGCGCCTCACCAGAGACAGCAAGCAGGTCTAAGGTCCAGCTGCAGGGGTCATGACACCTGCACTGGCTACAGTGGCCCGTGCCTAGACTCTCTAGCCCTGCTTCAGTCTTGGGTGCCGTGGTAGGGCTTTCAGCTCTCAGAGTACGCTGGCACCTCCCACCCTTGCAGGACCGAGCCACTTCCTCTCCTTTCTCCTGTCCCACCCTCACTCTCCTCGGCCCCTCAGGTGTGTAAATCAGCCTGACCTTCCTCACAGTGAGGAAGAAGGAAGCCACCTTCTCCAAAGACTGCCAGCTAAAGGGCCAAACCCCCTAGGCTCATGAAGAGGGTGAAAGGAGAAACCCCAGCAGGCAGGTCACCCCTGGGACCAGCGCCAGGGCCCCTGTCAACGGATGCAAGAGTACAGCAGAAGGAAAGCCACAGCCACCGTGGGGCCCCAGACGCTGCCACCACTTTGTCAGTCTATGTGACTGGCTGTCACGCTCTGTCTTGTGGTCCCTTCCTCTAGGAGCCTCCCGGCTGCAACCAATCTCTGACCAAAGAGCCACAGGTGTCCCCAGGCTGAAAACAAAGCCAACATCATTATCAGTGGCCTGGGACCACTGAGGGCCTCAGAAAGATCTTTGGTGGAAAACATCCTCTCTAGAGAAAAAAAAGAAAGGAAAACAAAACAACAGGGTGCACCAGGCAAAGGAAAGAAGTGCTGACCCCACATATGGGTTTCAGAGACACATGAGACGGTTCTAGGAAGTCCTTGGGTGTACTACGTGCTAACAGTCACTAAAGGCACGCCAAGTGACATAGCAGCCCACCTGCTTGCCTGACTACGGCTGGCCTGTCCAGGAGAATCTACAGGTCCCTTAACACAGGAGAGGTTACAGGACCTGTAACAGCCCCTGAGAGAAGACTGGGCCACTCACCAGCTGCCTGGGCCATTCAATTTGCTCGTCTGGGACACAAGATTGCCGTGAGTCACAGGCACCAAGGATGGGGTGGCCCAGCCTGTTCCAGGGTCATAGTGGCTCAACTCAGAAATGAAGGTTAGAGCCAGCCAGAAAGCCCTCCCAACCCTTAGAGGGCCCTACTCCAAACTGTTTCTTTAGAGGCAGTCTTACTAGAGACTTACTCAGGCTCAAACTCTAGACCCTCTTACCTTAGCTGCCTGAGTCCTGACGTTACACATATGTGCCGTCCCTCCCAAGTCCAGCTCAAGGAAGCACAGGAATCAGAGCTTGGGATCCGCTACCCAAGAATAAATGAAACATAACAGGGTACCCTACAAGACCCTCACCTGCAAGCAAGTCATGTCTCTGAGCACTGAAAAGGCCACCTCTGGGACAAGTCTGAACCACCCACCTTGCCCAGAAGTCCCCAGAGACTCTAGCTCCTGCTGGCCTCTCCTAGCTTCAGGCATGAAGAATGTGGTCAAGGCCTCATCAACCTATTTCCCACAGTGCCGCTAGGTCTCTGACTAGGCTGGGTGCGTGCCTTTACACCTTTTCATGTTTGGCCACGACTCTCTCATCCTTTTGCCAGTGCTTCGCCTGGGAAGCTCTCTGACCCCAAGGCTGGAAGAGACATTGCACAGTGAGCTTATCCTGGTCGCCTGACCCCACCCTCGTGCAGCAGCACACCAACTCCCAGTGCCTGCTTCCTCACCTCTGCTGCAGACCCCGGTGCCCAGACACTTGATCTGGAACTGCCCACTCCCAGGATCCGCGGCACTTCAGAACTCACCCAAGCAAAACTGCTCACAGGCAGACATCCAGCCTGGGCCCCTGCCTAGTCCTGAGGCCAGTTTATCTCCCAGACAGACAGCACAGTTCCCCAAGCTGCTGAGGTGATAGAAAGGGTCCACACTAGCTCTCTCCGACAACACACACACAGAGCCCGTGTCCTCTCCGACAAAGCTGGACACAAGTCCTTCTCCAGTGGCGGGCCTGTGAGTCATTTGCTCCTGGACCATCATTCATGGCCCCATACTACAGGCAAGCCACCTGGAAAAGTACCAGCTCTCCTGTCCCCAAGGCTTCTCACCCCTGCCTGGGCCATGGCCAGGGGTGCAGGCCTTTAAAGTCTGTTTACCTCATGCCCTGATATAGTTAGACTGGGTC